AAAGGGAGATGGAAAGTTTGAAGCTTTGTGATTCTTGGCTGTTCTGAGGATCAACATGAAAATATGTACTTAGTGGATGGTCCTCTAGTTAATTTAAAGATCATGGTACTAATCTATAAATAGAATAGCGCAAGAAGGCCATTAGCTTGCCATTGACAAAGACGAAGCACAGGATATGCTTAGACATGCTTCAATAACGATGAAATCAACAAGAAAAAAAAATTTCTTATGCTATTGAAATTTGGCAATGTTTAGTTGGTCCCCGAAAATTTTTTGGCGCAGATTTAACATAAAATGCCGTTTCTGCGCAGTAATGCGCAAATATACCGGTTTGGCGCAAAATGCGCAGCACTTGAAGCCCTGTAGCTTTCAAAGCAAGCAAAATTACACAGATCAAAATAAATAATTCATTATTATTCCTACTTCCTTTTGAATGACGATCCCAGGAGCACAAACACCCCTGGACAATTATACGTCTTACGCACCTTGGTTAATGGAAGTAATTTTCAAAGCACTTGTCATGGGGTCACCTCGTTTCGTCGTCTCCAAGATCAATTTTCCTACTAGAGATGAGCGGCCTCGGTGGCTTAAGGGCAATTGTCTTGTTTGTTACACAGATGGATCAAGGTCTGGTCTTAAATCAGGGGCTGGAATCTACTGCTCAATGATGATACCAAACTCCACTGTTTTTCAGGCTGAGGTCTATGCTATAATCTTTTGCTGCAGGATATGCTTAGACATAGGTTATCTGAATATATACCTATCCACATCTGCTCTGACAGTTAGGCTGCTCCTCTATCACCATCAAGGTGTAAATTCACCTTTTCATTTGTACCTTCATTTTAGTAAGACTTTATTTTATGATGTCTTGCTATATAGTTAAAATCCACACGATATTTGGCACCAGACAGAGATAGTCACATAAAATTTTATTTTAAGAATTCGGAATAAATTTTTTAAATGGCATAACTATTAGATCAGATTAACACGAGTTGTGATTTTTTTTAGAAGTATTTTTTTCAAGAAACTGAAAAAAATTTAAAATCTAAAAATGATCAGTACAATTGTTTAGCAATAAATATTAGCTTAAATTTAAACATATAAACTTAAGATAGTTAAAAAAGTTAGTTTCACCTTTATATTAACTTAATTCTGATTACTATTACAAATATTTACTTTGATAGGATTATTCTAAACTCAGGGATGAGATTAGCTAAAACGCAAAAAAATTCGGAATAAATTTTTTAAATGGCATACTATTAGATCAGATTAACACGAGTTGTGATTTTTTTTAAAAGTATTTTTTTCAAGAAACTGAAAAATATTTAAAATCTAAAAATTATCAGTACAATTGTTTAGCAATAAATATTAGCTTAAATTTAAACATATAAACTTAATATAGTTTAAAAAGTTAGTTTCACCTTTATATTAACTTAATTCTGATTACTATTACAAATATTTACTTTGTTAGGATTATTCTAAACTGGTAAAAATTTCATTAGTGATACTAAATTTTACCATTTTCACATAAATACCTTTTTACTTAAAAATGCACCTTTAAATCTAAAAATTTAAAGTATGAAAACTTAAACAAAAAGATCTATTACGTTGTTCATTACTTATATACTTTTTAATTTACTTTTTTTGAAGAAAATTTTTACATTGTCCTTTAACTTGCCTTTAATTATTTTGATAATGAGCGACAACTACTTAGTGAAATAAACACTTAAAATAGCAAAAGAGGGTTGATTAAAAATTGAGGATCCCACTTAGTTATTATATAATATACATTTTGATAAATTTTAATGGTGAGTGCCTTATCCAAACTAAATACACACTTTTCTGTGAGGAAAAAGTCTGTCCTATTTTAATCCTGGGGGGAACTCTGGTAGTACCATATTTACTAAGCACTAGAGCTGCACAACAGACTATTGTCAAAAGTCAGCGAAGCATGTCTTGAGAATGAACTGAAGACATGGTCCTCTGAAGAGAGGATTACTCCCCTGCCTAGGTAGCCAGATGACCTGATCATGTAGTAGAGCATTTAACAGTAGAACAGCTTAAAGGAGACTAATATTATGCACCCCCTGTTCCGTTGCAGGCTAAATAAAGTGGTCACACACACTCAACTGCTGCCTGTTGGAAAAGTGTCTTACATTTATCATGATTTTGAAGCTAGATTAGATAGCAAATTTTATGGGAAACTTTGCCAGGTAGTATGATAACTAATTATTTTCCTTTAACCCTGAACAGCGTAATTAAAAAAAACTGCCATTAATATTTCAGCTACATAAGATACAGGATCTCTAAGGAAAAAATATTTCTTGCTCAATAACCGTAATCCTAGACTCATACAAATTCTTCTCACCAACTGCAAAAATACATAAACATTGCAACCTTTTAAATGAACGAGGTACAGCGAGAACAGTGCACATACAGCGAGAATAGTGCAGAAAATCATTTCCTAAAAGCAGCAACTTCAACTAAACGCAACTCACTCTCCACGGGAAGAGAAATAAACGTTATTTTCTCATAACAACGTGAATTATCATCGTCGTTTGGTAAGTAGATTTTATGAAGAAATCGTTATCTTTAATAATCTTTTAAAATATGTCAATTTTTTATTTTCAATAAATGTCACAGCGATTTATGCTAATTATACTTTAAAATATATAAATTATTTATTATCTTTAAAACTTAATAAGGTTCGAAAACATTAATTTATACGATGGGACATAAATTACGTTAGATTTTCTAACTCAGAAATAGTTTGAATAAGATTAGTTTTACTATCAATCTTTTATATCATTTCTATTTTGTTTTTAGAGACTTTATTTTCTTTTGATATAAATTCAATAACGTCTTAAAATTAAAATCATAGCTGTGTACTTACATGGATTTCTCCTGATTTTTGCACATTTTAAATGAAATTCCTTATCAATTTATTATTGTACTCAGCTTATTACAAGCTTGATTAATACTGCTAATCGATAAAGTAAGTCTCATTAAAGAGAATATAACCGGCTGATTATCCGTTCTCCGTAAGGGGAAAAAAATTGAATCGATGAAGTCAGAACTGTTTAAATCTTTAGTCCATTCATGCTCGAAAGTCAGTATCAAGCCGTTAACTATTTCTTTCTTTTGAATGTTATTTTTTGTTTCAATTAGTAATCCTAACATTTATAAGGAATCATTAGTTTCAATAATAGTTAGACGATTTATTACTTTTCTCATAGAAGAATTACTACCATTTCATGTGGATTTTAGTACTAAAGATTAATATTTTTTTCAAGTAATCGCTCGTAACAAAATTATTTAAGCATCATAGGCCTCAATAACTTTTATGAGAGGTTTCTGTATGTGATCTGTGGCAGAATAATAGCTGTCTTAAAACTTCTGAGCAGCAGTTTGCAAGAAACAGATAAAGCTGGAAGGTACAAACTTGAAATGTATGACTCATAGCCACCCCTGGCAAACATCTATATGTGTTTGTTTGTTTTTTTTTTTTTTTTTTAAATTGAAAAATTTGTCACATTGGCAATTGTTGGTGCAACAGATCACATTATAGAAATTTCCCCATTATATTGTGATTATTTAGGTTTCTCCAAATTACATTAGTATTGTTTGACTATCGATATTTCTTTTTAGTACATGTATTAATTCACATTTAGTTCAATTTTTATTAAATGGCAATTTCTGAGCAGGGGCCTATCCAGGCTGAATTTACTACTGTTTAGCAGTACCTTCTCAAAATTCAACTTTAGGAGTTTCACAAATTATTTTTTCTTAAAATTTTATTTTTGTATCCCTTAAGAAATGAATCCATATTTTTGTGTTGATTTTTTAATATAATTTTTAATTTTTCACAAATTATGTCTAAATTTTCACAAAATAGGTACCTTTCAGAAAAACCTTGACAGATTCCTGCCAAGTTGTCTTTGGCCTATCAGTTGGATAGTTTAAAAAATTTATAGTATAAATATTCGTTTATATGAAGATTGAGGGTTTTCTTTTTTTTTTGTTGGATTGAAAATTGTAACTTAAAGCTTTTATTATACGTAAAATCTTCCATTTTTCTATTTTTATCATAATTCAGGGATCTGTCCAGGCCGAATTTGCTACCGTTTAGCGGTACCTTCACAAATTCAACTTGAAAAACGGTAGTTTCACAAAATACTTCTTCCTAAAATTTTATTTTTGCATCCCTTAAGAAACGATAAATCCATATTTTTGTGTTAATTTTTTAATATAATTTTTAATTTTTCACAAATTATGTCTAAATTTTCACAAAATGGGTACCTCTTAGAAAAACCTAGACAGACCCATGTAATTTCTTATTTAAAAACTTTACATTGAAGCCTGTTTTCCTAAGAAAATAAGTATTGTCAAAATAAGAACTTTTATAATTTTGCTATTCTAAAATGTTTGACTTTTTGTTATTGTTTGAAACAACTTTTAAAAATCAAACCTTATTCTCAGGTTTTTATCAGAAATGGAATATATTTGTTTTAGTTAATTTTTCCAATTTTAATTTTTGTATTTTATTGGCTCTATTTTTGTATTTAAGTTCTGTCTACGATATTTAAATCAATACCCAAAGTTCTGTTTAATTGGAAGTCAACTGTGTTGTGATTTTTTTTCTTTTTCTTTCTAGTCCTTAAACTCGAATAGAGTAATCCTTGATCTACACGATGGGCAGGGAGGACAGAGCAACCTGGAAAAGCAACTACTTTCTTAAGTTAGTTGTGAGTATTAGTTTAGTCTTTTTTTAAGTCTTTGTTTTTAAAGTGTTTTCAGTCATCTAATTCTTTAAATATTTCAGCAACTTTTGGATGAGTACCCCAAGTGCTTCATTGTTGGAGTGGACAATGTCGGTTCTAAACAAATGCAACAGATCCGTTTGTCTTTGCGAAAGCATGCCATCTTGCTTATGGGGAAGAACACCATGATAAGAAAGGCCATAAGAGGTCACATGGAAAATAATCCAGCATTGGAAAAGTAAGTGTGGTACATTAAGAATGTTATATATACCCTATTTGACAATTTCTCAGGGTGCTTTGCGTTTTTTTAAAGGTGCTCATTATTGATTTACATTTTTTAAAAGCCTATTACTTGGGATTTGTAAAAAGGGCTTTATTTTCTATCTTTTTTTCTTTGCCGTGTCGATTGCTGTTCTAAATTACAAAGATGCATGATTTACAAAATTTTCTCTGCAATATATATCAGAAACTAGTTATTTTATCATGATTATGTGAAGTTAGTGAAAATGTTTTTGAATTTTATGCACATAAACTGAGAATTTTAAGCGATAGAAAAGATTTTTTTTTTTATTATAACTTCACAGATCCTGGTTATTTTAATTTTTTTTGAAAGTGAATAAAAAAAATTGAATGCTTATAAAGTGCTTATTTTTTTGTTGAAAAATCTGGTTATGCACCCTGTTTCTGACTTGCTAAGGGGTTTTGTGCATGGAAATTTAAACGAATGTGATCCCCTTTTTTTCTTAATTCCTATAGTGAAAAAATATTTTTTCTTCAAAAAAAATGTCATTTACAATTAAAAGGTGATTATTTTTCGCAGCTTAAAACTGGTTCAACTGATGTAAGTAATTACGAATTTTAATTTAAGAAAGAATGTTAAAAATGGAACAATTATGGTATATAAATTGATATCTTTAGCTTTGCGCATAAAATATTTAGGGATTTTCACTCTGTGTCACAATTACTTCAGACAATTATAATATATTTCAATACAAAGTGAAGTAGGTGGGTTTTCTTTCCCCTTTATTCTTAACAAGCACCAGATTTAAATAAGTTGCCATGATGATAGCTTTTATTGATTATTTCATCAGGTCAGAGCCAGAAATGGCAGAACCCCCTGGCCATATGATGTTGTAAAGTGAAATTATTTGCTAATCAGCTGTCTGAGCTCAAAATCTTTGGATGAATTTTACCAGTTAACATTATATATAAGGTTCAAAAGAGTGTACAATTTGACTCATTAATTTTAAATGTAAATATATATGAATAGGAAATGTATCTCGAATAGAAAGTGTATTCCAGTCACACTGCATGAGAAAAATTACTTATGCTTATTCAAAGGTGGGATTAAAAGACTGATTGAAAACTCAGGTTTAACATGTTGAATGCCATGGAGGTCTCTGGTGACTGACACTAAGTTATTTGTTTATAGCGCCACGGGGGTCACCACTGACCCGCTACGCCAAGATTATTAGAAACACATAATTCAGAAATTTTTTTATATCATAGCGTTACTGAAATGGTTTGAAAAATTTAGTGCAATACATACTAAGAAAATAATTTTGGCCAGGCAGACAAGCCATGTGAAGTTAGCTTGGCATTCAACGTGTTAATGATATGACATCTGGGGTACTTACGCAGGGGTCTGTCCAGGCTGAATTTACTAGCTGTAGTTTCACAAATTAAACTTTAGGAAGAAGTTTTACAAAATGCTTTTTTTATTTTTGTATCCCTTACGAAACGATAAATCCATATTTTTGTGTTAATTTTTTAATATAATTTTTGAATTTTCACAAATTATGTCTAAATTTTCACAAAATAGGCATCTCTCTGAAAAACCTAGACAGACCCCTGTTACGTAAAGAATATTATGAGCATGTATATGATGTGTGTGATTCTTAAGTAATTAGTCCTATGATGATGTAATTTGCGTCGTATTAGCACTAGTCACAGAGTAAATGCCTGCTACTCTAAATGTGCTAGTGTATAATGATGATATTTTGACATCTGAGGTATTTATATAAGTATTTAATTTAAATCTAGGATATTCAATTTTGCTTTTTCAGAATTACTTGGGTATAATGATAGCATTAGGCAATGATATAGTGATTATACCTTTATTTCCTGACCCAATAAGAATTTATTGAATAATATGTCTTCTATGATTAAATAATTTTTCATCTTAGTTTGTAATAACAGAATACTTATAATACACAATTAGTGTAGGCCCTGGTTTCTCAACTGCAGACCAGTTCTGGCATCATTCTGTACATCGTTTGAAAATTTGATGTTACCTATAATTGCTGCTTTGATGACAGTACAGTACATGACTACATTAGTAATGTTTAAGTTGCCATCAATTAACTTACCTATTTAATTGTATAAGTGATAATCAGCTAGAATATAATTTATTTTAAAGTAAAGTTATGTGAATTTCAAAGTAAATGATTACAACCTCCCCTGTCCACTAAAAAAACTAAAATATTTCTCAGATTAAATAGGGATGAGAAACACTGTACAGTGAGTGATCGGTTAACGAACATAATCCATTCCAGGACTTTGTTCGTTGACCAATCATCGATTCACCATAGACTTCTATGTGAAACCGATTAATTCGTTCTGGAGACCCTAAAAATTAAATTTTAAAAAATTTATGATTTCTTAGTAAGTTTTTAAAAAATAATACGTACATATAGTCTTGCATATTAATTAGTCCTTTTCATTTTTTGCTTATAGGGCGTTGAAGAACATGTCCAATGTCGATTGCTTTTCTCTCTTTCTCAGGATTGATTTTAGTCATAATAATAATTATTGAATGACCTTTAAATTCATTGTTAATTCAAGTTTCATTTAGTAATTATCAATACTAAACATGCTTTAAACATTTCTCCTTTCAGTGATCTTATTTTGTGTTCCGGATATTTTGTCCTCCGGTTCATTATCCGAATATCTGTTCGTTGTCCGAACACAAAAATCTTTTGTGAAAGTGTTCGTTGGCCGATCACCCACTGTACATTCTTATCTATTGGTATTAGTTCTAAATCTATTGGTACTGCATAGGATTGTGATGATGATTATTTCCATGAATATTGTATTAGGTCAGTGCCAGAAATGGCTGAACCCGCTGGCTATATAGTGCAATATTTTGAAATTAGTTGCCGAAAGGCTGTCTGAACAAAAGATGTTAATCCTCAATGATGACTACATAAAAAATATATTTGAAGTGTAGTTTAACCCAACCCCTGCTGAATATTTTATTGAACTTTTTAGTTATTTCAATTAGTCAAATGTCCTGAAAATTAGGAGTTTTCTAATTTGAGATTTCAATTTCCATGTTAACTTGGTTTTATTTGGGGGGGGGGGTCCATAAAAACACCACAAATCTGCAACTTTCATAATAGTGCCAAGGGAGTGGATAATCTACATTTTTACCAAAAGTATAAACATTTCGTGATTTTGAATTAATAGTTTTTTCAGTGCTCATTGTCTCTAGTGGAGTCAATAGACTATTAAATCAAATGCATTAACTGATTAAATCTAGGTTAAAATTAAAGATGCTCCTATTGAAAAAGTAAATGGATGAAATATATAATTTTTGAAAGTTCATTAGATGACTTAGCTAGATTTTTGATGTATCGAAGTAAAATTTGAGACAGTATGTACTATTTATTTAAAATCAAAGTTGTTCAAAAATAAGGAAAGAGGTAAATGTGTGTTTTCATATTTGGGTTCTTAAATATGTACTAGCAAGCACTGTTGTCAAATATGTCTAATTACTTTTTATATCATACCTTGTATCCAGTTTTGATTGCTATGGGGAGAAAGCTAAACACTATTGTTCCATGAATATTACATTCGTTAAGCTAGAAATGGCGGAATCCGTAGGCTATATATATAATAAGCATTTTTTTATTATTCTAGGATCATTCCTCACATCCGTGGAAATGTTGGTTTTGTTTTTACCAAAGAAGACTTGGTTGAAGTTAGAGATAAGATCATGGATAATAAAGTGAAAGCTCCTGCCAGAGCTGGAGCTCTTGCTCCTTGTGATGTAATCTTACAACCACAGAATACTGGTTTGGGTCCCGAGAAGACTTCTTTCTTCCAAGCTTTGCAAATTCCAACTAAAATTTCAAAGGGAACAATTGAAATCTTGGTAGGTCTTTTAAGGATCAAAACAATAGCATGTATCTTTTAATTTCTATGATTTAACTGGTGTAATTAGTCCTATGATGATGTAATTTGCGTCGTATTAGCACTAGTCACAGAGTAAATGCCTGCTACTCCAAATGTGCTAGTGTATAATGATGATACTTTGACATCTGAGGTATTTGCATACGTATTTTATTTAAATCTAGCATATTCAGTTTTGTTTTTAAAAAATTACTTGGGTATGATGATAGCATTGGGCAATGATATAGTGATTATACCTTTATTTCCTGACCCAATAGGTTAAATATTTTATTGAGTAGTTGAGTTGAAATTTATTCCCCCATAATAGATATTTCATTGGGATGTATTTACATTGCTTTAAGGACTAGTTATTAAAAACCATGATCAATCATGTTCAGTGATCACATGAAATTTCAGCCAAAAATTTCTGTAGTCGATAGCAAGACTTTCCGTCTACAATTATCTTTAAATAATTAACATATCAGCACATGTTCAATTTAAAAACATTTTGATTATATACACATTGTTTGCTGGTTGACTCGTCCTCGAACTAATATTATCTCTTTCAATTTTACTATAACAATCCGAGGGGAATGTTTCACTTCACTTAGTATATAAAGTTTATTGGAGTCTGTTTATAATGTTTTATATTGTCATTTTCAATAGTAAAATAATAAGCCTGTGACATGACAGTTTATCCAGCAATAACCAGCAATCTTACACAGAACTTATACCTAGCATGGCATACATTTGTTAGATTATTTAATAGCATTAAACATAGTTATTTGGGTATGATGATAGCATTGGGCAATGATACAATGAATGATTATGCATTTATTTCCTGACCCGATGAAAATCATATTTTTGTTTTGATTTAAGACAGATTATACCTGTGATGAAGTAATTTGCGTCGTACAGCACTAGTCACAGAGTAAATGCCTGTTACTCATTAAGTGTTAGTGTCATATGATGAAAAACTAGCGACTGAGGTTGTCATTGTATCCTACTTGCGTGTATTTCATTGTATCCAGCTTGTATGCTCTGAGTCATTTCTTTTGAATGCCCTCAACTTGCACTGGTTCCATTTTATGTCTATTATGTTTCCTTATTGCTTTTTCAACAGTTATTTTTATGAAATTTTGCCTGATTTAAAAAAAAAAACAAGCAAAAAAACTTAATACAATCTTATAATGTGTGAACTTCGAATTTGAGTAATCACTTTTCACCATATATGTGAGCTAGATCAATCGATAAAAAAAAATTTAGGCTAGGATTGTTCTTTTTAATGAAAAGTATTTTTGAATGAATTCTAGTAATTAAAAGTGTGGGCAAATATACTCATTTTTTAAATATAAAATCATGATATGGTTCGTGGTATGTAATCATTAAGACATTTAATAAATTTTAGTCGTTTTAAGAATCTTTTATTCATTTTTTTCTGTGGCAACCCTGTATTTGGGTATGATGATAGCATTGGGCAATGATGCAATTAATGATTATCTCTTTTAGCTGACCCAATGAAAATCAAATTTTTGTTTTTATTATGATGAAGTAATTTGCGTCATACAGCACTAGTCACAGAGTAAATGCCTGTTCCTAGTTAAGTGTTAGTTGAAATGATGAAAAGCTAGAACCTATGATTAAACTTAGGATGAAAAACTAGCAACTGAAGTTATTGTATTCTGCTTTCTTTACTTGTTATTAAGAGTTAAATGCAAGATTATGATATTAAATTTACAAATAATTATTAATCTATTCGGCTCTTATCTTGTGTCTGCCTAAGTTGTGGTGTCAAAGAATTAAAATGGATGTTTAGTTTGATAACCACAACTCTCGGGCCTTTTTTTCTCCTCCAGGTTTTGTTAATCACTCCAATTCTGTTAATAAATTTTAAATATGCCTTTCAAGTTTGAATTTGTATGATTCATGGAGTTTAGTATTTTCTGAACCGAAAGGTTGAAGAAAATAAATAATCCTGAAATTTTTTTATTTTTCTATACAAAATTTCAGGGGATTTTGCTTTAAAACTTAGCATGATTCTCTGTTTAATTTTTATTTGATAAATAGTATCCATTAGTTTGTCAAGCACTTTTTAAAAAATTATATTAACTTAGTGTTAATTTTGAATGTATTTTTCAGAATGAAATTCATTTAATTAAGAAAGATGATAAAGTCGGAGCTTCTGAAGCAACTTTGCTTAACATGTTAAACGTTTCTCCCTTCACTTATGGATTAAAAATACGTCAAGTATATGATTCCGGCACTGTATTTTCTCCAGAAATTTTGGACATAACCAGTGAAGATCTTAGAGCTAAATTCATGGAGGTCTGTATAACTTATTTTACTTATCTAGTATTTAAAAATTTTGTGTGATTTAATGTTAGTGATATTAAGTAACAAAAAAATTAAAATGAATTGATTATTTGAATGTTGATGGATAGGTTGTTATGTAAATTGTTTGTTATGATGATACTTTCGACGAATATTGCATTAGGTCAGTGCCAGAAATGGCAGAACCCTCTGGCTATATAATGCAGTATTATGATATCAATGGCCAAAAGGCTGTCTGAACAAACAATTGTTAGCTTAAATTCTCTGATTACTTTCATTCGTTTTAATTTAATTTAAAGATCTTAGATTGAAATATTGAACGTTTTTTTTAATTATGTTGGAAAATGTAAATTTATAACATAATTTAAAACAAATATATAATTATAATTTAAACATTTAGTTATTCTATACTTGGCTGTTATTGTGAATGTTTTACTTCGAAAATAGGTAGAATGCATGGAACATAATGCATTAAAATATAGCACATGCTTTCCTAAGTCAGAACTATCAAATTTTATGCTGAGTTTTAAATTCTTTTTTTTTTAATTATTGTAATTATTAAAAAATCAATAAAATTGTTACAATTATCACTTTATTGCGTATAATAAAGGAAGAGTTTTAAAATCTCATCGAAGTTATCTAGTAATGGTGTCAACCCGCAATGGAAGAATAGACTTTATGAACTATAGTGCACTTCCTTATGCAAAATTTGTATTATTGTATTTAAATTTTGAGATTTCGGTTTTCTTTAACGTTTTAGTTAATGACCCAATTTTTTTTTTTTTTTTTNTTTTTTTTTTTTTTTTTTTTTTTTTTTTACAAATTATGGCGATAAAACGAAATTATCTTGTTTGTTGTGAAGAAATAAATTTACAAAATGGGAGAAAATAAACAAATATTTTTTATACATTATTATAATACGAAATTACTGAGTGAAATTATGAGTAAACATAATTCGCAACATTTCAATCATATAGTCTTTATGTTCCTGGTATCTAGAAGAGGATGTTTGTCTTAATGATGGTTACTCCTAATTTATTGAATTCATGTGTCTAATAATTTTTTTAGGGTGTTATGAATGTTGCTTCAGTGTCATTGGAGATAGGATATCCAACATTAGCATCTGCTCCTCATTCTATTGTGAATGGCTTGAAGAATCTTATTGCAATTGCTGTTGAAACTGATATTACATTTGAAGCTGCAGAAATGGTATCTAAAATCCAATCATTTGAATAAATCAAATTAGTTTAGGCAGTATTTCCTTGACTAATTAAATTTTTCTTTTACAGTCTAAAGAATTTTTGAAAGACCCATCTAAGTTTGCATCTGCTGTGGCTGCCACATCTGCAGCTGCTCCAGCAGGTGGTGATTCTAAACCTAAAGAGGAGGCTAAGAAAGAAGAATCAGAGTCAGAAGATGACGACATGGGATTTGGACTCTTTGACTAATTTTTTTAATGAAACTGGAAGAAAAATAAAAAGCCTTTTGATACTGTCTGACTACCGTTTTTTTCCCCCTTTGTTTCTTTTAGTACTTTTCAACACTTATATATCTTTTGCTTGTCTGTAAAAGAATCGCCAGTTAGGAAAAATCTGTGTGTTGTAAGAAAATCGCCAATGATTTTACTAGCTAATTTTGTTAGCAAATATATTTGCCCACTGTAACTTATTCAAGTGATTTTTCTATTAATCTTAGTAATATTGAAAAAAGTATTTACTTGCCTCTGTGCTAAAAAGTAGCTAATTTTCAAGTGTGTGAATACTTTTTTTTATTAGAAAAATTAGGTGGTCCAACCATTCCTGCTCTTAAAGAAGGAATTATTTGCTCCTAGCTAACAGCAATGTATTTTGTATTCCTAGCAGAGCTAAGACCTTGTTTTGAATCAAACAAAAGATATCGAAAGTTAGTTTACTCTTGTCAATCGAATATGAATGCGTTCAAACAGGATTGCGTAGGAGTGAACAATTTAAAAGAATAAAGTTTTAAAATACGATGAAAAATTGCATCGTAAATTTTGTATTCTCATTTTTTTTTTTTAAACAGTTGAAAGTAATCTCGAAGTGAATGCCTTTTAGAAGCAAATTTTAGTAAAAATTCTGCACTTCAATCCCCGTAATGATTTTCATTCATCGTTTTTAAATTTATTCTTGAGCAACAGTATTTTTACTTTTTGACACGCTTAATTTACGCCTATTGTACCGTTAATCGATGTAATGTTTAGATTGTTTTTTCCGCTGTTATTGATATTCACGTGGGTTTCAAATATAACAATCAAGGCCGGATTTACGTATAAGCTGTAGCTTGGGGCAAGTTTTATTCGGAGCTGCTGCCCTATGAAGCTCATTATAATTTTTTTTCTTTACATTTTCGGATGCTTTTTAAACTCTAATCGAAGTGTTTAAAAATATAAAATAATTGTTGACTATACACACTTTTTATGTAAATAAAAAGTAAGGTATTAATTTCTTATTCCTTATACTATTTCTAAATGAATTTGGTATACTTAGTTTAATTGGTTTTATAAAAAAAATTTATCTGTAATATTAATACCTATTTAAAATAAGTGTAGAAGTCAAAGTGTGAAAAAATAGCCTTATTTCCATGATTGGATTTGACATTCAATGCTAAGGGCCATTTTTAGTATATATGTCTAAATAAATAGTGCGAAAGATTTAGAACACAAAATAACGCACGGAGAAAAAATTACGACACTTCTCGCAAAAAAGAAGAAAGAAAAAAACAATTTTGGTAACGGAACCAAAATATATGGTATTTAAATCATTCATTTGGTATTTTTTTTTGTTCACAATGCAGCAGTTTATCGAAAATTCAGGTTTTTAAAATTATAGCTCTTATTACCACACATTTAATAAAAATGCAAAAGTCAAAAATAAAATGAACCGAATTAGTGATTATTATGCCATACTCTAAGGCAGCGGTTCCCAATTATTATTTAGGCTTCCCCCTACGAAACCCTTTCTTACGATTAAAGTTTATTAAGATAATTGTGAACGTTATAACCTAAAAAAAGACTTTTAAAAATATTTAATTAGAGGAATGAAGTATTTTCATTGTTTTATCATTAACAATCTTAAATAAGGTTTTATAGCCGATAGTTAAATTTGCAATCCTTGTGCTATATCTAGTCAATTTTGAATTTATTTTTGGTACATATACAAAAGCTGAAAATGAATAAGATAAGCCGAATTATATGTTACTAGAGTATGAAATTAAACTAGTTATGAACGCTATACAAATTATAATTTAGAAAGCATTTTTCTTTATAAAAGAATTTAGTTATTTCATATTGATTTGAAAAGTGCGATAAAAAATATTAATGTAATATTTTATAAATGCTTATTTTTTTCCTAATTTGATCAACATTCAACACTTTTAGTTTTTAGAAATATATTTTCATTTAAAAAATGCCATTTCTATTTAATTGGTATTTTACTTCAAATAATTTAATAAAGGAAACAGAAAGATTATATACGATATGATTTATATGTTGGATCAAAATATAATCAGAGATCATAAAAGAACTAACTAGAAGTTGTAAAAGTATTCATCCCCGGTTGTAAAAAGTACTAATTCGCTCTAAAACCATTAAGTTCCATAGAAAACAGTTTGGAACTACTTTTCTAAGGTATCGTGATAAAATTAAAAAATTTAACACATTTACTACCGAACAGCATGGCAAAAAATTATGTTAATTTCATGAGAAGTCATAACCAGATCAATATTGAAAAAAACTATCCTGTATTTTAGTGTTCTCATAAATAACGTAAATTTTACTATATTCTAATAGTTTTGACCATACTTTTTTTTTCTCAGTGTGGTCAGTACCATGATTCACATTTCATAAAAGGTACTGTATTGTCGCATGCAAACAGATATTTTTTCTCAAAATTTAGGAGAGCCTTCTATTTTGACACCTCAAATTTTTTTTAAAAAACTTTTTTTTTCGCAAAATTGAAAGGGAGAAAAACACGAGTCTAAAAGTTTTACATCAAGAACAAACATATCCAGAAATTTTCGACAAAATCAAGAATGTCAAGTATCCAAATGACTTAATTTATTAAATTTAAAAAAAAAAAAAATTCGCAAGGCAGGTGTGCATATTTGGGGCTGTAGATTATGAAATCTAACACGAAACTGAGATCGTGGCTTTTAATCCAGCTGATGACAGTTTTTTATTTTTATTTCTTTATACTGAAAAATGTTTTTCTTATTTTTTTTAAAGTATGCATGTAAAACTAATAATTTAACAATTATTTAAGAAACTAGAAGGCTCCGCCCCTAGTTCACTTTGCTCACTAACCCTTGTGGTTGCTTTTCATTAATCATTGCAGATATGAGGAAAAACGGCTATTTCCCTTTTTTTACACAAAAATTACGATTGCCATTTACATTTTAAAGATGACTAAATTTATGCAAATCAATGAAATTGGAAAATTGGTACCCCCCGCAAAGTTATTACTCAGTGAAGATGAACTCGAGGGATAGAGCATTTGCCTTCGAATGAGGTGAACCGAGTTCGAATGCCAGTGATGGCTGCTGGTCGATATGAATTCTACACCCGGCTTGCACCGACCACAGTGCTGACGTAAAATATACTCAGTGGTAGACGGATCATGGGTTAGAGACCCCTTGCTGTTAGACTAACCGTCGGAGGCTTTCGTGGTTTTCCTCTCCATGTAACTCAAATGCGGGTTGGTTCCATCAAAACGTCCTCCACGAAGGCAAAAATTTCATCAAATACTTGATCCTGGAGTTCTCTTGTTTGCAGGATTGGGTTCAAAATTACGAGGCTACGGAGTAGAACATTAGTAGTCGAAACTCGAAATTGAGTGGACTGTTCAATGACTGCTATAAAATAAACGAATAGTTTGGCTATAATAGCCTGGTTGAGGACTATGGACTCGTGTTCATGAGAATGGGAGTTCGAATCCAGCTGACCGAAGAGTACCCATGCATAAAATGGTGACTGGTGCATGCTAAATCTGTCTGGGTCACAAAGTCCACTAAGTTCTCATAACAAATCAATACCTCTGGGTACTGATCCAGAAGTTCCCTTGTCTTCTGCATTGAGTTCAAAATTACAAGGCTACGTAGTTAAACATTAGTAGTTGTAAACTCAAAATTGAGTCAGTGTTTCAACGGTGGTCATAAAAAGAATAAAACTAATAATCAAATTGTATTTTCTTGTATTTCTTTCTAAGTCCTTGTATATTTTCTACACACCTTCATAATTTCATGTTTCTAAGTCTATGGATTTTGAGCAGCAAAGCAAAATGTAACGTAAAGAAATTTTTTTAATGTTAATACTCAACAATAAAAAATGACAGTTTTCCTCAGGTGTATATAAATAGAATTGAACTCATAAGGGCCCCATCTTTTTCAGTAGCTTGGGGCCTCGCCAAACTTAAATCCGGCCCTGATAACAATATATTTCAAACAATATAGAAAATACGAATCGTGAATTTGAGTCTTTACTTTTTAAAGGAATAATTATCGAACTTTTGGCATATTTTTTATGCTTACTTTTTAGATCCGTTATTTTTTTTAAATGGTATTTATTACAACAGCCTAATCTTCTCATGATTTCCTCGCCGATTTTTTTCCCGGTAATTTTTATTACGCATTTAATAATTTTTATCATAAGTATAACAAGAAAACTCAAAAATTATCCAGAATGTTGAGGACAGAGACCTCTGAAGAAGAAACTCGTTTCAATTGAACATTTTCGTTTGTGTGTTTAGGATAGATTAAAACAATTTTAACCGATTTTAGTCAAAAATTTAGTTTTATCTACTAGGGTGAATTACATTAACAAATGCATCTGAATAATTAATAGCTATAGAATTATTTTTGTTAATTCTTACGGGGCATTTGTTTAACCCCTTACCTGCTTTGGCGTTATTTACTTTTCGATTTATCTTTGCTAATATGTAGGCAACATGTAGAGAATGGAAAATGGAAGGGTGCAACCGGAGCGCAATATCATGTCAAAAACGGTGTACAAAATACTATTTGTGTAACATTACTTCAAAAACTTGTGACGGGTTAATTATTAAACATGAGTTAAGCCCAACTATTTTAACCGTTTGAGTGCTGAAGAGTTTTCTTATATATATGCTAATAGTGTGGAATGAAATGCGTAGTAATTTTTTCCCCCGGAGAACAAGAGAAATGGTTACAATTAACACTAATTATTATGTTACACGTAATTTTTACCAACAAAAATATTTTTTATTCTCACTTATTACTAGAGCCCGGAAGTTCAGGCAAAATGCCATAAATGCCCTTTTCTGCCTTTTTTAAACGTTTTCTTCTGAAAATGCCTTTNACATAACAAGCGGAGCACTTCGCCGCACTCAAACAGTTGATATCATTACATCCTTTTATTTCTTTTCTTTAATAACATACTGCATTCTACGAATCCCATGATAGAATTTTTGGCACATGAGAAGCTGTATTTTAGCATTCGTTAGTAATTTTCAAAAATCAAGACTAGAAAACTAAACTCAGCGGCGCGACAGCCCATAGAGGGCCATGACCTACTGTGCCCATCTCAGTTTTCTTGACCTCTGGGGTGCAGAAGCAGATGTTCCGGTTAGGTGGTCAGCCGAACGCGAAACTATCAGTGTTTAGTTCCCAAGTATGCTTGGTACTCATATATCGACCCACTGAAGGGATGAAAGGCTGAGTCAACCCAGGGCTAAAGAGAATAGAAGGGCTGGTTCACTCCTTTGAAGTATCTCTCGCCGCGCCGATCCTCTGACGTCACTTTGGCGCAAAGCTCGCACTTTTACTTCAAGAACGGAGCGTTTGGCCTTACTAGCTCTAACTAATATTGGATCATTTCTTTTTGCGAGATATTCTAAGACATTTGTTATTTTCTATAATGACTTTCCTCAGTTTTTGCAGTGAATTTACAANTAATAATAATCGTTTTTATTAGAATAATAATCGTTATACAATAATAACGATTTTATTTATAATGATATCGTTTTTATTTATAATAATATCGTTTTTATTTATAATAATAATCGTTTTCATTTCTAATTTTTATAATAATAATCGGCAATAAATATCGTTTTTGAATAAGCTACATTTTTTGTAATTTTATTCAAAAATAAGTAAGTTTTATTAATCAGTTAGATAGTTCACTCTTGTCGGTCAGAACTGTATTCTTTATTTCAAAATGATTTAAAAAACACTATTTATAAGTAGATTTTAATGGTTTAAAGAAGTTTAGTTAATTGTGCAAAAATGGTTACAGAAGCTTATTTTAAAGTTAAAACACGCAAAACAAATTTTCTTTGAATATTCCCAAATTATTTTTCTAGTCAAAAGCAGGAAGTAAATTTTAAACAGTCACATTTCTCTCTGGTTTAATACATTCAAAATTCCATCAAAATTAGGTGTTTTCACTGAATTTAAGATAGAATTCTTGTTCATTTTTTTTTTGCATTTCCTTCATTGTTTGTCTTTTTTTAAATGTTGTAGGAAAAAAATTAATTAATTTGCCTGAATATAAATGAACACAATTACAAGGGGGAATAATTGACTTTCAATTTTTTTCTGATGTAATTCAGAATATTCGAGACAATTAACTCGAAATAAGAAAAAACACATATCTCGTATTAAAGTCATTATCAATTTACCGCCGATATAAACTTTAACGTTTGTTTCGTTCTCTCTACTTTTATTAATAAAAAAAATATATATTGGACATCCATTTAATAAAAATGAATGTTTCTTTTTATCTTTTAGGTTAAGAGCGATCGTAGCTTCAGCTCTAAGAGCGGAGTGAACTAGCCCTTGTATTCTCTTTAGCCCTGGAGTCAACCTAGCCCAGCACGAGGATCGAACCAGGGACCTGTGGCGCTACCGCTCAGCCACCGGGCGTCTTATATAAGACTAGATCAACAATTAATATCTTGCTTCACTAAAAAATGTGCCAAATTAGACCTCTGAAATAATTCAAATAAACTTGAAGAATAATTTTAATTATTTTAAAGAGTTATAAAATTATGTACATCTTAATAATTACTTAAAGTTATTTACAATTTTCAAATGAAAAGTCTCAAAATATCCTTTTTTTTTTTTACAGAAAATTAATTATATACTATTTCAAACTAATAAAAATTTTCAGAAAATGGAAGCTAATAAATATTTCAAAAAATGCCTAAATAAAAACTATTTTAAATTTATTTGGTCTAAAATACTGCAAGATATTAATTTTATTTATAAAAGTTTCAACAAGCGTCTGCAAATATTTATTTACATTATTACTCACCTTTTGTTTAAATGGAACAAAACTAAAATATATAATAACTTAAGATAAATGGAAAAAAATCTTTTGAATAGTATGTCTAACTCATTCTTAAGAATTACATAATAAATTTCAGAATTACGGTATTAAAATCCAAAAATATATATTACCTAACATTTAAAATGAAAATTATAAGTTCTAAAATAAGTATAAATGTCATTTATATTGTAAATTAAACCATTGAATGGTTTTGGAAGGACACAATTTACATGTTATTAAAACATCGATATTTTAAATTAAAATAAAGCTAAAATATTTTATTTCCTTGACTATATTCAAAAAATAATAAATTAAGCACAAAAAAGCAAGCCTAATTTTTCAAAAAAATATATGTAAAAAAATAATTACTTTACAAAATCAATCAGAATTAGGAAATAAAAACCATAAGAAACAGAAATAGTACAATTGTTGATTAGGTTGGATTATAGTAAAAAGAAGAGACTATAAAAAATTAATTAATGAGTTGTATGACCGTTGAGATCGTTTAATAAATAAATAAATTAGTGGATGTTGGATGTTCCTTTAATAAGCGTAGTATGATGGAATAAATGGAAGATGACATGTTTTTCTGTTCTTGAAAATAATTTTATTTCAGGTAAACATTATACAATGCATTTTTTAATATACAGGTTTCGTAGTTATCCTGATATTCCAGATTTCCCTGATTAAAAATATTTTGTTCTGATTTTTAGAGATTTTAAACCAATAAAAAAAGGTAACCTTTTCAGCGTTGCCAAAAAATAAAGTATTATACGCTTCTTTTTTTACTTTCCTATTTTCTACAAATTTCAATACGTGCGGATTAATTTAAGCAAGTAATAGTCTTAGCAGAAATGGGTAGTTGCGAGTGTTTTTCAAAATAATAAGTGAAAACAAACATCGTTAACATGGATAAATTGTTAAAGAAGATTCGTGTCTAATTAATCTTTGTTCCTTTTTTAAAAAAGCTGAACTGATCATATGTTATTGAAGGTATGACTGTTTTATCTCGTACTTGTCGCGTATTATATGAAGTTGTATTTTTTCTACGATTATTTTTTAATTAATAGAATTACTTTGTAAGTTTTTATTTTGTTTTTTATTAAGTTATTATATTTTTTGTGTAAGTTGTTGCAGCTGCTATTAATATTGAAGACATAATTGATGATTTTTTTTCTACTAAAGATAAACAAGACTATCTTCTAAAATTAATAACTTACATAACAAAATGAATAAAACAGAAACAATCAAGTTCATAATGAATGACTCTTAATTTTTATTGATTTCGAAAACAAATATATAAATTAGTATCTACATTTTAGTAAAAATTTGCCAACAGCATAAGTTATGTGCAGCTACTAACTTGAATGGTCGTTTAGAAAATGTTTCTCCGTTGTATCAATATTTATATAATGTAATATTATGTAATAATGTGTAATGTAATATGTTTTAATGTAATTTTGCTTAATAAGGTTACAATATTAAATGGAATAATTAAAAATAAAATGTTTTAGTCATAATGAAAGCTCAATTATTTAAGCATTTTTATATTATGGATCGGATCTATTTTCTTGAATGTTGTGCTTTAATCATGAATTTAGGATCTTTCTGTAAAAATCTCAATTGATCCTACAAGTTGGAATCTATGATTATAATTTCCAGTCTCTCATTATTAGAGCTATACGAGGAATCCCACTCGTTCAGCAAAGAATATCTAGATTTAGAAGAATCTAGGATTGTAATATAATTTGATTTTAGTTGAAGAAGTTGTAGAAAGTTGCTTTTGCACTATATTTGTTTAATATTTGAGGAATATCTACTGTAAAAGTCTCTTACTCTCTTTTTAAAATTTTGTAAATTTTAAATATAAAGAAATATTTATTTAGATGCAATTCCACCATTTAAATGTGTTGTATTTTCAAATTTTAAAAGTAATCCAATTAAAAAATTTTGAGCTGTCCTAATAATTTTCGTGAATATAACTCTTGGGTGAGGATTTTACTTGCTCCAATTTTTTAAATATAGAAACATTAGACTGGCTGTTGCAAATGACACAAACTGTGTTGATTTCATAGAATTAAAACTGTTGAATTCATTTAGGTGAGTTGCATGCTTTTAAAGACTGCAAATACAATATTTGTAAATGGTTGAGAATTGCTTGTGAGTTCTTTGCTCGATAAGTATGGATTTAAAACCAATGTATTATTTATTTTGAAATACAATCATTTGATATTATACTTTATAATTAGAATTTTTATTTAAGGTGTTTGATATAAATAAAAGAAATTTAAATATTAGCATATTTTTAATTCATAATTTGTGAGACTAATGATTATCTACAACAAAAGAACGAGTTTTCACTACAGTGCGAGAACCTTGCAAATTTTTTTCTTTTCTCGCATTAAAAAATAATTAACGCGAGAAGTTCTCGCACTCTATTGATCAATTTCAAAATTTCAAATCTCGTGAATTTTGGAAAAAAATTTCGTCTTCTGCCATTTTAAATAAAATCCATTTCACTTTTCTTCCTTGATCTTTCATTATTTTCAACATTGGTCCTTATTATCTAGCTTTCCTATTTACCAATATTGTTCAGAACCAGTGCGAACAGCGGAACCCCCCCCCGAACCCCTTTCAAAACACATTTCTCTGCAACCACATGTTCACCGTGGGTAAGGTTTCTTCATGTAAGACGTTTAAATTTTTTGTGCATGAATGTAAGATGGACAAATACCTTGTTAAGGCACATTTTCTACTCCATAAGGAACAAATGAAAATGAAACAAATGTCGATAGAAACGGTCAAAACGAAACAAATACGGATATTCTTTAGATAAATAAAAAATCAGTTGAGAAAAAAAATTAGTCCTTTATAATAAGTTATTTAAAACATTGACAATTTACTGCAATTTGTAAAAGTTGAAGGCTGTGAAAACTATGCTGGAAGACCTACCATGAAGTATGAGCATGGAAATAACTTCATTATTCTATAGCAGAAATAATTGAAAAGCCTATGCTGGCAGATGTAGAGGATAGGAAAGTGTGTGCACAATGCTACAAATTTACTTAGTAATTTCGAATAGTTCAGCATCTGTTGCTAGGGCATTTAGCACCTAAAACCGTATTTAGACAAAATATCGTAACAGATTGACTGATAAGCATTCGAGCAGCCTAATGAGAATAGCTGATGAAAAAGTAGATATAGAACTTTTTCCATATGATAATGCAGCAAAAATATTCAATGCTTTAGAAGATGTTAAAAATGTATTATACTTAAAGAAATATTTTTTTTCAAGTCTATTCGTGTTTTTTTAATTTTTAGAAATCTCACTTAACTTTTTGAAATCTCACCCTGTTTTTGAGAAAGGGTGAGAAATTCTCTTCCAATTTTTTTTCGTAAAGGAAACACTGTCTAGGGTCTAAATATGCTGCATTTTTTAATAGTATATGTGTTGCATATGTTAATAATATAAGAGAGATTTAGAAAGAACCTGTTGTTAATTAGCCATTTTTTAAAATTATTCTTTGTTTATTGTGCCAATAGCCGCTGCTTTTGAGGAATTACGATGTATAATATTTGAGAAAGTTTTTTGTTTATATTTCATATGAATTTTTAATACAATTATTTATTAAAATTATCGTGTTATTATTTTCTCTTTTTTAATTTTTATACTAGATTGATTAAAGATCTACTTAGGTATGTCCAAGGTTCTAAACTTTGGGAGAAGCTTCCTTCTATGGTATGCCCACGATTTGGAGAATTTTAGATTAGCGGTATGTATTGAAATTTGTTTTATGCTTGCATATTATCTTGTAAGTTAAGCTTAGTTTTTAAATATTTTGTTAGTTATGCTTAGTTTCTAATGCTGAAATTCTTCTTTTGATATATGTTATTATGAAAACTAGTATTCTAGAAAAAAGGGTTTTGAGAATTATATTGTTTCAGCATAAACTAAATTTCTTTCAAGTATTTAATTAAATTATAATTTATTTAACTTAAATCTTAAGTGTTTCTTTTTTTCTTCTTCTCATTTTCATAGTTGAGATTAGTATTGTCACAAAGTTTTCCTTTTTATTTCTATAATTCTTGTTATCATTGAAGAAAGAAAAATGCATATATCAGTAATTGGAATTTCATATTTAAACAATGAAGAAACCGAAGTGTTATAATTTGACAAATCACTATTGAAGAAGGCAGATTTAAAATCGATTTGATTGCCGAATAAAATGTAAAGGTGTTTCTATTGATTATACCTTTTACTCTCTCTTTCACCTATATGCAACTGAAACACGCTTCTTAGATTCGTTTTCTTCGAACCCGTTCGATCTCTATTCGATGATGACCGGTTCCCTAATTCAACTGTAACATTAGGTCACTATCGAAGTTAAATGGTTGTCTGATGAGGAAATTAATCTCTTTCAGCAGGTCACTTGAGCTATATTCTTTTTCCGCCAATGAGAAAAATTCACGCACGTTTTCTCAATTTTGAGTAGGAAGAAAATTTGTAACTCTTGACTTTCAAATTAGCGTCTGATCAATAAGTTTAAAACTTGTTTGTCTGTAATCTTACTGTATTATACTTACTTACATCTACAATATTACTTAAATGTTTTTAATGTTTCAAAGTATTAATAACATTATTTGAAAAAATATTTTTTTAAAAATAGAATTGAATAGTTAGTTTGAATTAGAATAATTAAAGAATTTATAATAATTTAACAATTTTGGATACAATGAGGATGAGTTTTCTTTAAGATTCTTTTTATTAAACGTTTTAAGCTACTATGAATACATATATCAGCGTATTATTTACATAAAATTGTCACAGAGTGTTTGTAACATTCAACCACGTTTTTATCATCTTACGCCCATGATTTCTCTCTACTGCCATTAAATGGAGAATATTTTGTTCATGATTCATCAAAAATAGTTCTGTTGAACTTTGCCTTTGAAGTCAAGCTATCATGCTGGTCATGTGACAATAAATGTCCATAACGTTACAGTTGAATCAGGTAACAGACATTTTTTTCGAATAAATCGAACGGAAACCAGTAGTTTGATTGAATTTGTTGCATAAGGGTCACAATCTCCTTGATTTGATGCACTTAACCTCGCCTTTCTTATTTGTGAATTGTTAAGTTTTAATGTTTTTTTTTCTGACATAAATGTTAATTTGTGATTCCGAGGGGTCATTCAAAGTAATGTAAACACCTAAGAAGGGAGAGGGGATTTAAATTTTACTCATTTTTGCTGACAATGGAAGAGGGGCACCAAAATTTTCTTATTTTCAAAGTTTTTTTAAAATGCAAAAAAAAAAAAAAAATTCTCTTTAAAGAAGTTAAGTTTGTGGAAAGAAAAGTTGGGAAAAAAATCCTTCCAATGTTTCAGGGGTCAATAGTTCTTACCACAAAAAGAAATCAAAAGATTCTTAACATTCCAAGTATTGAGCCCCTAGGTAAACTTTTACAGGAATTTCCCCGCCATACGGTATTTTCCAAATCAATGCAATGAAAATAATTTAATCTATTTATTATTTTATTATTCTTTTTGCAGGAAACACTGCATCTAAAAGTTAAGAAAAAAAAAATTCTAGCATTAACACTTGGAACGTTAAAGTATATTTTGCATAATCAAAAACAATTAAAACTTTGCTTAAAACATATCGTATAATATTGATGCACTTAATTGTTATCTTGAAATAAAACATTTAACAATTGTTTACGACGATTTAAGAGTAGACTAAATTTGAACGATTATTTTTAGTTGATATCCAAATTTTTTATTATTGGACGCTCACTATAGAGCATCCTCAACGAAAAAGGAACAAACACTAACACAAAAGGAACAAAAAAGAACAAACATTAAGAAGTGCTCGCCAAATTGGCGAGCTATTATACATGGCGACACAGCACATTTAGATACATGACATTTAACAATAATATATTAAAAGAATACAAATGTGTTTGTCAGATGTTACTGTAAATTTAGTGATATGACCGAAGGTAATACATGAGGTAGGTATACAAATTAAAGCTAATTCAAAACAAATTTAAAGTTAGGAGTAACAATAGAAGCAATTTAATCATTTTACTTCCTGCTGATAGTGAACAGAATATTAGGTGTAATCATACTAAGCGTCACAAGCAAAAGGTTAATTTAGTTGATCCTCAGATCAACTAAAAATAAAGACTCTAATCTTGTTGCATTGAGTCAACATATCACATTAATTTTAAAAAAGGGAAAAGAAAAACTAGTTTTTAAAATAAAACAGAAAAAGTGTCATTTTTGATTTACAGAGGAATTCATGTGAACTTATGTGTAGCTGTTTATGTCATATGCAGCTGTCATGTGAAGTTCTTCTCTATGCAGTTATTATTTTTATTTAATATTTTTATTCTAGGAATTGTATGCTATAATGAAAAGCTTCAACATCAAACATGAATGGATAGAAGAACCTTCTATTAATGATGTAAGTTTTATATATAGTTTTATTTTTAATTAACCATGCATGTAGATACTAAAATACTAACTGAACACTAATATTGAAACGTCATGAGCGAATAAATTCACAAATTGAAATTTATTTTTCTGATTTGTGCAATTATATATGTTTTTTTCTTTTAAAGCTTTCTTAATGCTTAGTTTGTAGCAATATTTTATTAAAAATATTGTAATTTTAACTTTATTTTGTATAATTTCATTGTCAATTACCTAATTTCTTTTTTAATTATATCATTTAAATATTTATTTTTCATTTATAGGCAGTTTTATCATAAATATAAAGTAATGAAATATTTGTATTGAAGTAGTAGAAATTTATTAGTTATAGTTTCTTATGTTAAGGCTTAAAGGATATAAGGCTTACGAGATTTTATATTTTGAACCTTTGTTCTTGAGTAACTTATTTGACATTGTAAACAAAATCAATTAATTTTCTGCAAATAATTTAATCAAAATATACTTGTGTGGTGACTTGATTTGTTCTGTTGTTACAAAATGTTGGTGCCTTTTCCCGTCTTTTTAATCAGCAAGTATTGGCACATTCTCATGATCACTTACGCATAAATATAAAAATACAGTAGGGAACTGATTATCCGGAACGATCGGGACCATCGCTATTCCGGATGACTGATTTTTCCGTTTTTCTGAATCGCTACAAAAAACCATTTTTTTTATTGTTAAACCGAACTAAAAAAAGAACAAATATTTGGAAATAATCTTAAAAAGAAGAAAAAACGATGAAGTAATACACTAACACTAATGATTATTTCCAAAATGATGGTAAAGTAAACATCTTTCAAAAAAGAACGCAAAATCCTGAAATCTCATGAGGATAAACACATTTTTTAAAAAAAAGTGCCGGGAGAATGTATCGAATTTGGTTCGGGTGTTTTGGTTTTCCGGTTTTCTGATTTCCGGATAACAGGTTCTGTACTGTACTTAATCAAACCATTTCAGAAGGAAAGAGTAAACAATGAAGATGAATTTTATACTTAATAATTAACAAATTCCTTAAAAATTCATTATGTAGACATGTCACAGTATTATACCTAGTTTTAATTAAGTACTCAGGGATGAGATTCTTCCGCGGATTCGCGGATTTCCGCTTTTTCTCAGATTTTTCAATTTTTCCGCTAATTTCCGCTGAAATTTTTTTTTGCACTAGTTAAAATATTTTATGAGGAATTTAATTCTCCGCGGAGCGAAATTATTGAAGTCCTCATTCCTCCCTCTGAAGTTTCTCTAAAAATCATTTCCTTGGGATAAAACTGGTTGACCTTCATACAGGAATGAGATTTTTTTCGCTTTTATCTCTCGAATTTCAGCCTTTTTATCAAAAACTCAGATTCTTTAAAAGTTTCCTTTTTTTAAATTTTTTTTTTATTTATAAATATCCCGTTTTTTTTTTTTAAATTCAGTCGTTGAAGTCAAATAATTAATATTTACTTGCGGTTTTCAAAGAAAAACAGAAAATTCAAACTACGTCCTAGCTGCTAACCCTTCCGCATGTTTACTTATATTAGCTATTTTCTCCAATTTCACGCACAGAAAATAAGATTTTCCGTATTTTTTATCCGTCGGCGAGATAGCTCGTATTTTCGTAATTTAGACGTTGCTGCTTCTTGTATTCTGGAGTGAAAGCAAACAAAAAAGTGAAAAAAAAAATAGAGGTGGATTTGCGGTGAAAATATTTATTTGCTCTTTCAATTTTTTTTTAATTTTTTTTATTTTTTTTAATGGCGGGCACTTGGAGCTATTGTCCATTGGCCACAGAAAGTGCCAGAACTGCTAATTCTCTTTTCGTTACCCAGTGGGCACCTGTGGCAAAGCCACGGCGGTGGAACAGCGTCGCCCAGGTCACACTACCACAACCCGTTTATAGGGCGGGTCACATTCACACACAAAGGAGAAAGGACATAGAACACAGATAGAGGGAAAGAAACATCCATGCCTTGCCCGGGATTCGAACCCAGAACCTTTCTGATGCAAGGACAGTTCCCTGCCCCCTACACAGACTGGTCGGCTGCTCTTTCAATTAATCTTATTGATTAATTGAAAGAGCATCTTAAATTTTTATTTATTGTGTAAACAAAAAACAATTCAAACAAGCCTTTTAGAAATCCCAAGTCCAGACTCTGCAAATATCTCGATTTTTATTCACGCGATTTTAATATCAATCATCGATTTTCGTATTTACCTGATTTAAAAGTTGCGCATTGCAATTCTTATTTACGCTTTTTAAATATCGTACATTATGACTCGTATTTACGAGATTTAAAAATCTAATATCGTGTTTTGTATTTTTGCATTTTTAAAATCGCGATTTTATTATCAAACATCGATTTTCGTATTTACCTGATTTAAAAGTTGAACGTTGCGATTCTTATTCAGGCCATTTAAATATTGTACATTGCGATTCTTATTTACGAGATTTAAAAAACCAATATCGCGATTTGTATTTACGAGCTTTTAAAACCCTATGTAGCTACGCGAGCTTAAAATCCAATGTCGTGATTCGTTTTTGCGGTTGTAATATCGCGCGATTTTAAAATTATGCATCTTGATCTAAAAATTACGCATCATGATTTGTATTTTCGCATTTTTTAAATTCGATGTAGAGTTTCATATTCACGTGATTTAAAAGCCTCATATCGGGATTTATAATCACATGGATTACAAGTTTAAACAAAAATTTGACAAAAAAAGTGCGATTTATATATATATATTCTTGGATTTCCTCTTTTTTACTTTCTGACTACTCTCATCCCTGAGTACTTGATTAAACAAATTTTTTGTAGCCTTTACACAAATACTTGATCTGGCCTAATTCAGATTTCAAGACTTTAAGCCTGAAATAAGTTTTGCTTCAGATTTTTATTTCAAATGACATTTTTAGTCTATTTGTTGATGAAATGTACAAGTTTAAAAAAAGTATTATATACAACAGGGGGCGCTGTTGCAACAAAAATTGCATAGGAATCCATGCCTGGAAATGTCGTCTGTGACTAGGGGTGTTCCTCTATTATGACCTGTTTTAAAGCACATGAAAAAACACTTCATGATAAGGAAGTGCCACTAGTGGTGTCTGGCGTCATTTCTCCAACTGCCATTTATACAACCCCCTGCTATGTATAACATTTTTAAACTTGTACTTAACTAAAAGTGTTAGTTTGAAAAAAAAAAAACTTTATCTTGGCAATTGTAGAATTGAAATCAGTGATAAAGTATCTAAGATGCGTTAAATAAAACAAGTAAGCAAAAAAAAATATTTTGTGTTATTATTTTGTGTTTAGCAAGCAAATGTGTGTCTAGATATATCCAGGAAAAAAAATTGCAAACGGTCCTATTTTAATAATTAAAAATCTGTAACTTATGTAGGTCTTGTAATACATTTTCATCTTAGCATTGCATGATTTATTAATTGCATGTTTAATTTTTGGACAACATTTTTTTTTATAAACAATTTGAAATCTTTAAAACTATTGTGTTATTTACATAGAGCTTCTAAAAGTGGTAGATTATATTGCCATGCTTCTAAACAATGTTAAAAAAAAGGCAACTTTTTCATTTGCCAAATTTAAATGAATCAACAAATAAATACCAAGAAATTATCTTGGTGATAGTTATGCCTACCAAGGATCTTATGTGATCATTTTTGAGTAAAGTTATTTTTCCAATATTTTTTTTCTTAAGAGTTTGCAAAAATGCTACTTAAATAAAGTTAACTAAATTTTATCTTTAATTTCTACTTCAAATTTTCATTCTAAATGGTTGGCCAACATTGCTTTAATTTTACTTTTTGAAAAAATATTGCTAATTATTTGTAAATAAAAATTTTCTTGTAATATTTTTTTTACCTCATGAGAGATTTAAAAAAAAATAAAATTTGTTTTCAGATCATTATTGTTTTAAACATGTTTTCAAAATTGTTGATTTTTTTTTCATTTTTATTTGTAGCCTTTTTTGTTGGTAAATTTTTCATCAAAAGAAGATGTATTGAAAATTATGTCCAGAACTGTTTTAATTAGGTAATTATGTATTACATTTTAGAAAACTGTTAATATGTCACTGTGGTTTGCATTAAAGTATATAAAATGGAGAAATATTATTTATGTATGAATTTATTTGCTTGATTTTATATTTACTTATTTATTTATCTATTTTTTTCAATTCATTATAGGTCAGCTTATGAATTGTGGGCAAAAAGTAAAACATTGAATGAATTGCACACTAATTTAAAATCAATTCCAAAGTCTTTCATTGTAAGTTCAAACAAATTATAAAAATTTTAATGAATGTAGTCTCAATCATTCTTAAAGTTCAGTGACATCTGGTTTTGTGAAATATTGTTCATTATGGTTTTACAGTCGAATCCCATTGTAGTTAACTCTGTCCAAACTCAACAATAAATCCCCTATAAACGGTAGTTCACTATATTCAATTTCTTTGAAAAATTATATTTTTGGAACATGGCAATAATAATGTTGAAAATAGTGATTATGGTAGTACATAATTTGTTCATAAATTATTAACTGATTAAATAACAAATCAAATATTAAAAATATTAATTAACATTTCATCTTTTAACGTTCTGTGTAAGAAAGTAATATTTTTCAATTCACTACAATTCATTTTAAGTTGAGTTTACTGATTTTTATAGCAATTAGTGAAAAGTCTAGTATTTTCTAGTCCTCATTTTTTCCAGTAAAAAGAAGAAAAAAAAATTCAGGACCTTTAACGCAAATTTCACTTCCAATATAACAGTTGCTTAAATTTCTTACCCCTTTTCAGCAGCAGAACGATTGAGCAAGAAAAGGGTTGTGCTATTTAGCAATTTATTTCCTTAGTTTAAAAGTGAAGAGCTGGAAAAAGTAAAATTTGACATACTGTAAGGAAATATCATTATTTGCTATTGCAACTCCTGAAAACTTAAAGTTGGAGAAATGAAAAAGAAATTGAGGAAATGAAATTAGAGTCCACTATAATGAACTACCAACTTTTCAGCTGTCCACTATAAGCATATAAAATAACGTCTAAATATGAGTTCAGAGGAGACCACTAAAAAAGTTAACAGCAACTGATAGTTTGCTATATCTCCAGTTCATTATAGTGGGATTCGACTGTATAATCATTTAATATACTCTCAATTCTGTTAATGCTGAATTAAGAATACCGAAAATTAATTTCTATCTTAAAAATAATATATACTATGTATTATAACTGATGTATTGCTATTTTGAAAATTTTGAAATGTATATTAGAACACATATCTGTATCCATTGTGATTTAAATTTTGCTTAAGATATAATAATAGAAAACCATAGAAATCCTTTTGCAAACTCTTCTGCCTTTCCAATGTTTTGAAATACTTAAGAAGGAGGATTTTTTTATTGCAAATTTTTATAGAAAAAAAAAAGGATATAAATGTGCATATATATAAAAAAAAGAAATGTTAATTAAGTTTTATATTTTATTGATCAACTAGTTACTAAAAATAAATAAAATTTATTAATCATCTATTATTTTTAAAAAATTTAAATTTTAGAGAATACTAATGAAACAAATTTATACAAAAACATCAAAATTTTGTTGATATGAACGTTGCTTCATTCTCATTTTGTGCTTTTGTGTTACTCATTTATTATATAGATTTTTTTTTATCTATTCTAGGCCCCATACTGTGATAAAAATGTATCTTTTAAGATTTCAGTGGAATCTTTCGGTAAGAAAATGTCCAAGGATTACAAAGTTCTTCGTATTGATGTAAGATTCAGTTTTAATGCTATCTTACAAGCTATTTAATGCTTCTATTACTTTCAAACATCTTGAACTTGCACATTTAACACTAGCTCAGTATGTATTCAAACGAATCTCAGAATGGATAGGTTTTCAATTATTTATTTTTAAAAATATTTTGGATATTTAAAAAGCTATTGATTTCTTTATGTAGCAGTTTTCTTTGTGATTTTGAAAAACAAATATTTTGAGGTGTATGATAATTGAAAAAAAAATTAAAACTGCATTTTTATAATTTTTTCTTTTTTAAATTGAAACTTTTATTTTTTTGTCATCTTGTTAAATATATCATTAATAAGATACTGTTTGTAAAATCATAATTACAATTCAACACATATTATTCTAAACTTATTAAATTAAACTGTATTTCTTAATTTTTTTTTCTTTCTTTGGCAGTTAAAGAAACAGTATTGGAGTTTTTTGTTTAATAGAGTTTTATTTGGACAGCTTGAAGACATAAATTTTTTTTTGAAATTTATAGCTCTTTTATTACCAATACATGCACAGTACTCTAGTTTATTAAACTAAACTCCAGTTATTAAACTAAAAAAATGTAAACCTTTAACTTCTTCTGAAAAAAAATTCATTCCAAGTTAGTTTAGTTTAATAACTTTTTGCATTTTGTGGTTTATTTGGTAGATAAAAATCTTTATTTCAATTACTTTATTTTAATGAATTTTTTTCAAAAGAAGATTTTAATCTACATCTTTTAAAATACTAATAAATGTGAATATTACTCTAGATCTTTTCTATCAATTTGGAATTTTTTCAGTTGTGTTGATTCTTTGGTAGATAAGAAGCTTTTCATTTGCTTTATTTGAATGAAATTTTATTAAATAAGGTTGAAGTTATTAATTCTCCCCCGCTAAATATCTAAAGCTTTTATAATTTTATTAGTATACACATTACTCTAGACCTACGAGGGTTATTTTTTTTTCAAGGTCCGATTGGTCGCTAAAGGAAAAGTTAGGGGAAAATCCGCTAGGTCTGTGTACAGACGTCTTTGCGCTGTGTCCGTAGCTGGCCAGGGGAAAGAATGGATTAGCGGTTGTCATTTTTGAATACGTATAGAGCACATAAACATGCTTTGAAAAATGGAGTCTCCCGCCAAATGTGAATTGCGTTCAGTCATTCGATTTCTGCATGCTGAAGGAAGCAATGCAGCTGAAATTCATAGATGAATGAGTAAAGTGTACGGAGAAACGTTCATGAGTGATAGCAATGTGCGGAAATGGTGCAGGATCTTTAATGCTGGACCCACAGATGTTCATGATGCAGGTTGCCAGGAAAGGAAGTCGGTGTCAACCGATGATCTTGTTCAGTCCGTGGATTCGCGGAAATCGTCGGTTCACAATTTCTAAGTTGAGTGAATTGATTCCGAAAATTTCTCAGTCAGCTCTGTATACCAATTTGAGTGAAATACTCGAGTACCGCAAACTATGCGCAAGATGGGTTCCCAAGATGCGGTCTGACCATCACAAAACTCAACAAATGGGCGTCGCATTAACCTTCCTTCAGCTCTACCATCATGACAGAGATGAGTTTTTGGACAAAATTGTCGCAGGAGATGAGACATGGGTCCATTACTAAACTGAAGAAACGTTGGCTTGGAGGACAAACTTTCGCCACAGACAACGAGCTGCAAACCAGCTTAAAGAATTTGCTGAAAACACAGGCGGCTGCTTTCTATGATGAAGGTATTGATAAATTGATACCATGTTATGACAAATGCATGAATCAGAACAGCGATTATGCAGAAAAGTAGCTTAATGTTGTATCACATTGTTCCATATAAAATTTTCTTGATTCTGACTGTCATTTTTTCTTAGCGACCAATCGGATCTTGAAAAAAAATAGCCCTTGTATTTAACCAAATTGAACTTTATAATTAGTTTCTTCAAATAATAAAGAATTTTATTTAAATTTAAATTTTTTATTTGTCTATTTTTAATGTAAAAGTTTTGTGAAATAATGTATTTCTTTATAAAATCTTTTGTAGGAATTAGAATTTCTGGAATTGGAAGGTCCCATAAAACTTAACAATCCGGATCATAGTTTTCTTTTTATGGAATATTATGGTACAGATAGAAATCATGCTCCTGAATTGCCTTATAGATTATTTTTTGGAAGATGGGTCAGTATATTTAATAATCAGTAAAATTTCGATTTGTATTTGTGTAAATAATTTTATTAAAGTTAACTTACATCTGATTGTTAATGCTAACATAAGTATGAATAATTATTAAGTTCATGTAAAAGTTATTTATGTGGGAAACTTATTATTTTTTTTATGATTTTTTAATTTTTTTTTCTTTTAATGTTTCCTATATTATTATTTTCCTCAAACATTATGTTTACATTTAAAAAACAGTTTTTTTCCCTGGGTTATATCTTAAATTATTATAGTCTATTCATCTTTAAAACAAATTAAGACCAGGTTTGAAAAATTTTCAGTTTTTTGAAAAATATATGTTTTTTTCTAAATTATTGTTTTTATGCTTGCATTGTAAAGAATCAGAGATCATTAATAAAATCATTTAAATTTAATTTGCCGACTGGTCCGAGACCTCTAAAACAGAAAAATCTTAAATTTGCAAGAAAATGATGTTCCATTAAAAATTGCTCTTTCTCTTAAATTATTGTGAATTATGTGCATGCATTATAAAGAACCACAGACTAATTAAATTTGATTAATATCACTCAAATTTAATTAGTCTGTGGTCTGAAGCATTCCAAAGCAGGATTTAGACTATGAGAGATAAAATTTTTTTGCGATTGCAGAAGCAACAATTAAATTTCAATAATCAAGCAAAAATATGCTAACAAAAAAGTCACTGTTCACTTTTATAAGCAGCTAAAAATGCAATATTTAAGTAATCGTGATCTAATATATTTTTAAACCATAAACATTTCAGCCAAATTAAATATCTGTAAAAAACAAATTAAAATAATCAGCTAAATAAGCTTTTTTTGTTTCTTTCCTTGTATGATATTTTTATTCACTGGTTCAGTTAAATTACGCACATAAAGTAGTTCTGTAATTGCTTTTTAAATTTGATTCGAATGTTTAAGCAAAATAATTAAAAGTAAATTGTATTTTAAAAAATGTTATCAAAAAATTTTATGTCATTGAAATATACTCTAAATGTTAAACATTGAGTGAACCATTTATGATGCATAAGCACCAGGTTCAATGGTCTTAAAGACAGGCAGCTATTTTTTTTTTTACTTTTAAAGTTTATTTTTTTTATACTGAATCAATGTGATATTTAATTGTTTTTTGTTACTATACATTATTTTTAGAGTATATATAAATCTTTTCTATTCTACAACTTATAACATATTTCTCAAGCTCTCTGAAATTTTTCATGTTTTAATTTTCAAAGGGGTCTTTTACTTTAATTCTAAGAATGTGAAAAAAAAAAAGTATAAGATTGCTTTTAAATTTTTTTTTAATGTTTCGTTAAAATTAATTCATAGTTTTAAAAAGTGATTTTTGTGCTTTGCCTTTCTACAGACACTTAATAGTTTTGAACATTAATATTTTAGTAGGTTTCGATTTGATTGTTTTTAAATTATAAAAATGTAGTTCTTTAACGTATGAAATTTTTTTAAAAGTTTGGTATTTTTATTGAATTCTGCATTTTTTATGACTTAATATGATATGTTTTTAATTTAAGATATTTTATTTTGTGAAACTAAACTATTTAGTAGTGGTTCCGTAAAGTATGGGAACTTTATTTAATGCAAGTTTTTTTTTATTGCAAAGGTTTAGTTTTTTTAATACTTTCTAAATGATATAGTATGTTTGAATTTTTAGTATACTTCTAATGGCTTAACACATAACTTTTTTATTATAATTTCTAACTGTGATTAGACGTTATTGAAAAAATATTTCCTAAAAATTTTTAAATGATGCTTAAGTAAAATATTGTATTTATATTTTTACACAGTTTTTTGTTTCTACATTTATTTTAATTAATTCTAGATAGCTGACGGTCAGAGGTCAGTGAGCCAAAAGATCAATTTAAAAACCAGAAAATTTATTGGTAATACTACAATGGATCCACTATTGTCATTAGTGATGGCAAATGTTGCATGTGTCAAGTCTGGGCATTTGATCTTGGATCCTTTTGTTGGAACTGGTATTTATTTTTAAATAATATGCTTTATGTACACAAAAGTTTTAACATTTAGAAAGATAATTCACAAATTTTATTTCAGGACGCAATTTTAAATAAGACTCATAATATTAGACTTACTATTTTTTTTCCAAAAGAAAAAGTTTTACTTTGTTATAAAATATATATTTATTTGTATTTAAATTGAAGTAAGTATAAATTTAAGTTTCATTTAACACTTATTTTTCACACTTTCTAAATTTAGTTTTCTGGGTAATAAATACAAAAAAAAAAAAATTATTTTTCCTTCTATTAATTTTTTAAAAATATCCTAAATTGTGTAGAAAGGTTTAGCAGATATTCTAATAAGAGCCAAGTGTCAAGAAACAAAATCATAAATTTCATTTATAACTTTCACAGCTTCATACTTTTACACCAAAATTTTTTTTCCATACCAATGAACATTCAAGTTTTATTTATTTTGTAGCGCTATGAATGTTTGATTTAAAATTCTTTGTAATAAACCAGTTTCATTTCACATCATGTAAAATTTTAACTTAATCAAAGAATATTAATAGATTTCACAGATTTATGTCATACAGTCGAACCCCGCTATAGTGAACGCGGCTTATAGTGAACTCCCGGATATAGTGAACGAAATGCTCGGTCCCGTGCCTTGCTATACACGTATAATGTTATTTTTAGTGGATATAGTGAACCAAAAAAGTGAGGAAGTTGGATATAATGAACTTTTTTATGTCTTTGACTGATTCCCCCCCCCATTTTCTTTGTAATAATTTTGAAATTTCTGCTTCAAAATAAATACATACACCGATTTTTAAAATCATCTATAGAAACTACTTTTATGTGCTCAAATGGCAGGTTAGACAGGTTTAAAAAGAAATAACAGAAATTCAGGAAAAATTATCTGAGAGTCGGGAAGTGTTTCCATATCTGATGTTGAAGATTGCTCATCAGCTAAAGATTACTAATTTTTATTTGTGCGCAAGACGAAGAGTGATGAAAAATAACGCATTTTTTGTTGCTACATAAAATTTTTCAGTCATTTATATGAATATAGTGTGATAAAAGGGAGGAGTTTGGGAACCATTAGTGAAATTGCCTGCGTAACGGATATAGTGAGCTTCCGGTTATAGTGAACCGAAATTTCGATTCCTTGAAGGTTCACTATAGCGGGGTTTGAATGTATATTAAAAATGTGCACAAGTTAATGTTTTCTGTTGAAATATTAACTATTTTGTATCTGTGGCATAATGTCCAACTGTATATTAATTTTTCCGACTTGTTGACTGCTGCTCAGGAGAAGCTGACTGCTCATTACGTTCAAGGGGAATTTTAAATAATTAGACACACTTGTTAAAAAGGGCTATCGGATCAGCATTCAGCCTACTTAATTTCAATGTTAGTCATTGTATGCAAAGAAAACCCACCATACTGAGTTGGTTTTAATATGAAAGGTTTTAAAATATTAAAGCTGTTTTATTAGACATCTTATTAAAGCATTTTGTGTCTTTATTTAAACAACAAATGATTTATTTATTATAATGATTTTCTCATTTTCAGGGGGTCTCTTAGTCTCTGCTGCTCATTTTGGTGGATATGTTGTTGGAACAGATATTGATTTTTTGATGCTTCACGGGAAAGGTCTGTTGGTATTTTGATTTTATTTTTTTTAATATAAATCAGTAGTCAAGTCTAAGGAAATCAGGGTTGCCGCAGGCGACTAAAATGCGACTATTTTCTGCCTGAGTTGACCATGGTAACTTTTTTTGCCTGAAAAGGCTAACAAAGCAAATATTTTCAAGAAAAGGAAACTATTGAGAGACTTTGTACTTATAGCGATGTTTTTTAGTATTAATGGGGTTGACAACCTGTGTCCCCCAAGAGCTTAAAGACAATGAATTTTTTTTTCCTTAAAAATTTTTGAATTTCAAGTTTGAATCATCACGTTTTAATGCGCTCAATTTGCATAGATTCCAGTGTAAGTCGATTTTGTTTATTGATTGCCTTTTCAATGGTTATTGCTGCAAAAATCTCCTTGATTTAAAGAAAAATTTTTTTTTTTAATACGATATTACAATGTATGAATTTTGAATTACAGTAATCAATTTTTGCGATATATTTGCTTGATCAATTAGTGATAAAAAAATTTAAAAGTTAAGACTAAGTATGTCCTTTTTAATCAAAATTCAATTGTTGAACAAAAGAAAACCTTCTTTATGGTGATAAAAACATGTCAAAACTCATCAGTATCATAAAATATGCCTGTTCATGATATGCTATTTCAGTATTTTTTTTCTAATTGAGTAACATAGATAATTTGTTGTGTTATTAATTAAAAATAATTTTTAAAATGACTTTGAATTTCTACCATTGTATTTTCTATTAGAGATTGTCAAAAATTTCAACTGTACTATTTGCAATTTATTGACGTATATTAACATTTCTTATTTGATTAAAAAAGATTTTAAAATGAGAAAAATATAAATATGTTTATAACTAATAGTTTTATAAATCACATATTTTCTAATTGAATATTTTATTTCTTAAATAAATTATATCAAACTTTTTTTTTAAAACTTGAAATAAATAAAAAAATTCCACTTTTTTTATAGCTAAACCATCCAGATTAAATCAAAAGAAGAGAGATCCAGATGAAAGTATTTATGCCAACATGAAGCAATACGGTTACGAGTCACAGTATTTAGATGTAATTGTTTCAGATACATCCCTTCCGATGTGGCGAACAGCCTCTTTATTTGATGCAATTATAACAGATCGTAAGTAGAAGCTTTAAATGCATGTATTGCTCTAAGGTTGTTCTGTTGTCTTAAGAAATAATGTATTTTCTGCAAATAATATGCCATTTTCATTACTGTTGTGAGGTTATAACAGTTATTCCTGACTTCTAGGTTAAGTTTCGTTACTTATTAACCTAATAATAGAAATGTAATTTTTTTTTGAGTGAGGCATAACATAGTTGTATGCCATGCCAAGATTACTTGTATCAGTTACTTATGTCTTCTAAACATTACTAAAAATTTAAACTTTTGCAGCTCCTTATGGAATTAGAGAATCTACTGAAAGAATAGGTACTGAAAAGGATTATAAAATTCCCGATCATCTGTAAGTATTTTTCTTTAACAATCTGAAAAACTTGCTATGTATACACATATAGATGTAAAATACCTGGGTATTTATCAATTTTATTGAAAATTCAATGGTTTTTTTTTTATATACAAAATTATGTATATTTTAGACAATTAAGATTTGCTTACATTTTTAATACTTAATTCATCCTTTACTGTGAAAAAAAATTCATTCAACTGAACATATAAATTATTAAAAACCATTATTTTTTTAAAATTATCTTTATTTGAGCTCAGTTATGGTTTAATTTTCTTTAAAGTCAAATTTCTAATCATAATTCCCAGTATTTGTAGTTTTAAAAGTAACATCTAAATAAGGAAAGCTTTGGCGAAAGGAATTTTTGAAATGCAAAGATTTATTCGAGTTTTATGTAATTTATTTTAAAAAGTTTATCATACAAAAGTTTTTCTGCATATGAATAGTACATAATTCTTTTTTTGATCCATATTTAATTGTGATGTTATATCTTTCTGTATAATAATGTCCAATGTGTTAAATTTGCTGTAAAATTTTTTGAGTTTTTATTCATTATTACAAATGAATTAAGAAATATAGATTAATATTAGCATGGTTTTTGAAGGCGTATAAAATATTTGCTAGCTTGAATATTTTAGTATTTTTGTATTCTAAAATTAAATTAAGTAGGGAAGCTTCTTTCTATATGAGAAAAAACTGCTCTGGGGAAGAAACAAATTGTATGTTAAAATTATAGAGTAACTCTCAGCAAGGATTTATGTATTTTATTTCCTTTATTAAATATTTTTTGTTAGGTATATAACACAAATATCATCGATTGTTCTCAAAGGAAAAAAAAAACAAATATTTTCATAAATTAAAAGTAATAAACTTTAGACATATGAAATGAAAATGCATATAACAAAATCATGCAAACAAATAATTATTGATATAAATTTTATTTGCATTAAATATTTTTCACTCCTAGTTGGTATATGTATAGAATAATAGATTTATCATTCATAAAGTTTATCTTCCTTAGTATTTTTTTATGTAAAATAAATGAATGAATAAAATTATTATACTAAACTATAAACAGTTGAGGTACATGTTCATAGTTTTTTCTCTTATATTTAAATCAATATTTGTATTTACAAACTTATCTCTAAAAATTTAAGAAAAATTTCACATTATTATTTTAATTTGAATAAATTTAAATATTTTAAATGTATTTAAAAGCATGGAACAATATTAGAATGGCACAACTAAGAACAATATTGATAATAAATCTATATAACTGGGTTATATGCTTTTATATAGAATAGAAAATAACACTTTAAAAGATAAGACTGCCTTTGTTTAGATGTCTGAATTGTCTTGCATTTTAATGATAAAGCAGTGTTAACTCATAGTTGGAAAAATAACTCAATATCATAATTAAATTCATTATTTCTTTTGACTAAAATGAAATTTCACAAGTATAACTAATTTTTAAAAATAAAATTATTTTTATTACTTTGATAAAATAGAATCAACTCAGAAAAAAAAAACTATCTTAATAAAATATTAAAGGTTTTTAAACCAATTACATTTTCTTAAAAAATACAAATATGGTTTAAATAAAAGAGTTTTGTGAATAAATTTCTTTTAAAATTTAAACATGAAATTTGTAGTTTTAGTTTATCTCTCATATTAAATTTTTAAATTCAATATAAATTAAAAAAAAAACAGTTTAAAACTTAGTTTCAACTAACTTTATACATTTTAAACTATCTGAGCTCATTTAAAATATCTTCTATTTTATCGCAGTGCATTGGAAAATTATTTCTTTAAAAATTTGCAACCTGAAACTTAAATGATTTAATATAAATTCCTACTTTATATTACACACTACAAACTTTTTTGCATTACTTTCTTAATGCAAGAATGTAGCTTCTCCAGTAGGTAATAGTTTTTGATACATTTTTTGCGGAACTGATGAGGGGTGCTGGGGTGGGAGCTTATTGTGACCTCCCAAACATTTTCGCTATTTAGCAAATCTTGCTCCACCATTTGGCATTTTTATGAAGATTCATTTTCCCCTTTTATTTAGAAAACACAAATAAAATTATTACATATTTATTTGACTTTTTTGATGAAAAAAAAGTTCTGTTCAAACCGTCAATTTCGTAATTCTTATAATGAAGAAACTTATTCATTAATACATAAAAAATTTTTATGAATGAAAGACTGAGTAAACAATACAAAGGAAAATGCTAAATTTTTAGAATACTTTTGATTGTCTCTGTATATTTAAAAAAAATATTGCCTCCGTTACCTCTGATTCAGAAAATCATTACCATATTCTCAGTGCCATAAGTAGAAAAAAATGCTAGAGGAACACTATGAGCTCTTGTACATTTTTTAGAAATGATAACAATTCATTCAGATATAAAATTGATGCAGTTATTAGATGAGTTATTTTTCATCAAATTCAAAGATTTTTTTTTCTCGCATGTCATACAGTTTAGCAAAAACTATTACTAGGGGTATTATTATTTATAGCTAGAATGTCTGATGTTCAACAATTTGTCTAACTTTGTAATTTATTTCGAGTGATTAAAATGTAAAACTCTGAGGATTGGTAAGCAATAAAAAGCAGAGAGGGTAACCTTTAAAAAAAAAATATTAAAATAAACAAAAAATATCAATGTGAAAAACTTAACTATTAAATAAATGTAAAAAGGATAAAAGAAGGAGAAGCACTCTGGGAAAAATATTGCTTTAGCATTTTTGAGGGCTAGTGAGCAATGTTGAGCAGAAAGCAGAGCCCTCTGTTGATTATAAAAGAAAGCATAATGAACTTTCTGACGATATAAACTATGCATTCATTAAATTGGTAGGAGACTTTTTCAAATTCCTTCGATGTTACGAGAGAGAAAAAAAAGATAAATTTTAATTCAAACAGTGAATTATCAAAAGTAATTTTAAAATAATCATTTTTATTTCATATGATCCTATGCAGGTTTTATTTTATTTATTGTTTGGAAAAATATGGCAAAAAGTCACGATTTCTATGTTTGTACCTACTTCATTATTCACTTTTTAAATTCATAGCTGCCAACTGTTCAAAATTTTTCGGATTTGTACCTAATTTTTAAATCTAATCTAAAAATCTGATATTTTTATAAAAAATCAGAATTTTCATAAAATTTTTGATTTTAAACCAATCCCTTGTTCTGATCGCCACCAGCACGCATCCTGTGATTATTGTGCTAAAGTAATTTTTAGTAGCTTTTTATTGGAAAATAGTATTCCAACAGCTGTTGCTAATTATTTCACTAAATTATTATTTTTTGAAATTTTTTTTTTGTAATATTTAAACACTTGCATCAGAAATATTTGTTTATGATGTAGATTATTATTTACCTGTGTTTTATAATTTGGAGATAAATAATTATATATTAATAGGTAATGTTTGTTTTTAATCTATTATACCGGTATTTCTAATTATAAAATATTAATATTATAAGTTTCCCACTAAAGATAGTGTTTATAGTTTTGTTTTACTAATTTAAATATATGTCAATGTTGTGATTTAATAGTTAATTTTTTGTCTTACTCTTGTAATTAGTGCGTATAATTTTGTTGCATATCGTGTTCCTAATTTTTGATTCCTAAGGTTGGCAGCTATGTAAATTTAATAAATAAATAATTTTTAAATAAGTTCAGCAAATGTTATGTTTATAATAATTTTTTTTATTCCATTCTTAAAATTTTTATCCACTGTATAGCTATATTTTCATTTTAAAGCACAAATCCTTGCTTTTTTAATTTGTATTCGATATTCGACGAGATTTGTCATTACCTATTTTATTTATTGACTACAATAAAAATAAAACAAGGTCTAACATAAAACATTTATTCCAGATGTTTTGTGTTAATAAAGTTTGTAATGAGTTCACTTATTTAATAAATAATTCATTTGACATATCTAATGCATATATTAATCATCTTTGAAAAAGTAAAATTTTTTTCTTTTTAATTTATGCTCAGGGCAATGAACCATATTCCGTCCAAAGTTTCATATAGTTTGCAAGATATTATAGAGGATCTACTTGACTTCAGCTCAGTATATCTGAAACTTCATGGGCGGTTGGTGTATTGGATGCCATCATTTAATGAAGAGTAAGATACTAGTAGTTCATATTTTATACTTAAAGAAAAGTTTTAGTTTTTTATTCCAAATTTAAAGTCTTTTTCCCATGTTATGTTAATTAAAACATTTAATATATTTTTATCATTCAGCATAATTATTGAGAGCATGTAGATCTGGAAATTGTTTTTATCACAGTAGAGTCCCGATTATCCGAGTTAATGGGGACCGCAACAAACTCGGATAACTGAAAAACTCGGTTAAAGCGAAGAGTATAAAAATGGAAAGAAAAAGAGAAGGTATATATGTAATATATTTAAGAAATACGAAATGTATACGAGTATACCACATACAATTCATATTATAATTAAAAAGCTTACTTAAAAACATTTAAAAAGTATACTTTACGAGAATTAAATAGTTTTTACTTAAAAAAAGTCCTTAATAGTTTTTCGTTCTACGTAACTTTGACGCTTTTCTGTAGTAATGTTTCGCCTTTTTTAGGGATAACAGGAAGGCTGATGTCGCCTTTTTTTGTTGTTCTATATATTCAATAGTACATTCGATAGCTTTTAGTCCAATTGTATGAGAGATTTTTATATGTTGATTTTAATAATCACTGTCTTCATCATCTTCGCTGGTTTCATTATCATTATTGACGATATTAACGATGACTTCATCAGACCAAGTGGTTGGATTTTGTTTTTCTGAGTGTTTGGAAGATAAAATTCAGATTTATTTTTCAGAGGTTTTTTTAAAAATAAACTAGAACAAAAAAAATCCTTGAAATATTTGATAGCTCGGTTAAAGCGGAAACTCGGATAATCGTGACTCTACTGTATTTGTTTTTGGAGGAATGTTTCAAATGCTCCTTTACATTATGCTTAGTTAATTTATATATATGTTACCGTTAAAGTATGAAATCTGTTATTTTATAGAATACCTAGTTATTCCATGAAATAACTGATCATGTCCGTTAAAGCTTAAAACTCTCTTGTATTTCATGGTTTAACTAGTTATTTCATAGAATAACGATCTGGGATTTAAAATCTATACAGGGATTTAAAAAATGTTCGTGTAAAACCCAGTGTGTCAACAAAAAATGTTTTTGTTTTAGAAATAATGTTCTTTGTAATTCCAGGTGTCATTTTAGTAATCCTTGTTGTAACAAATGATTTTATGGTACGTTTCCATAAATACCATTTATATGCTGCATAAATTAGATAAATTGCTTCTTTTTCATTTTAATTGTCTATCATTAGTTTATTTATAGAATACCTGGTCATTTATAAATTGTTTATTTTACACTTTAACTGTCTCTCATTAGTTAATTTATAGAATACCTAGTTATTTCATAGAATAACTTGTTAAAGTGTCAAATTAATAACATATTTCACACTTTAACGGACAGATCAGTTATTTCATGGAATAACTAAGTATTCTATGAAATAACTGCATTATATACTTTAACGGTAACATATATATATATTTACACAGGGGATGGATAAAATAATGGAAACTCTTCTATACTAATAATTTTTTTTTATATTTCTCCAGAAATACCTAATGATGTATCTTCAGAAGTGTTTTGATTATGCTACTTCTCATACATATCAGCGAAGGTTTAGGTTTGAGGGACAATAATACAATAAATTACAAATGGAAAATAATGTTTTTGAACACCCTATGTCGAAAAATGTTGCAATAGATTTATAATTTGGGCAGTTATTTTGGTTATTATATGTAATAATTACACAAAATTTTGTAAGCCTAGCTTAAATATTTATGGAAACATAAGACATTTTTATAAAAAAAACTACTTTTTTTGCTATAACTTCTAAATATTCAATAAAATTAAACAGAATTTTTAGAGAAATTTAAAGTTAATTACAAAATTATTCTTTTAAAATTTGAAAAAAAAAAATATGCTAAGATATGAGCATCTAAAATAGCTCTTTCGTACTGCGCAAGCGTGAGGAAAATGAATTTTTTTAAAAATTTTGTAATGAATCATATTTAACAACTAATGAAATTAGATTTTAATGTCTTAAAAATTTAAAAAGTTTCAAGCTATTTTCAAAGTAGTTTTCGTACTTTTTAAAAGAAAGCTCAAAATGATAAGGGGTTTTCTACAAATATTACCTTGTATCATAAGACAGAATTTAATATGGAAAGAAAACAGGAAAAAAAAGCATACTTTATGGGGGATAATCCTGTTGTTGTTGTTCCTCATCCCCACAGGTCCACGAGTCCATTCACCCTCAGGAAATCAAAAAACAAGTCCGGGTTACGCAGAAAATCCTCCTTTTCAAAATCCACACAGCTGAGGAGGTGGGCCGGGCTGGCTGCACTGGAGAAACATTTGTAGCAGGAGGGATAGATCTTTTGCTGTTGTTCATACCTCATGCACTTTATGTGACCACTGAGGAATCTAGTGAAGTCTGATCGCCTCTATTACCTTTGAAGGTCAAAGCACGACCCAGCTTATCCCCAGAGTACCAGATATGTAATCTGGGATAATCCTTAAAAATGCCAGCATTATTTTTTATAGAAATATGTGGAAACTCCCATATCATTTTGAGCATTCTTTTATAATTACAAAAACTACTTAGAAAATTGCTTGAAACTTTTTAAAGTTTTAAAATATTCAAATCTAATTTCATTAGTTGTTAAATACGATTCTTTACAAAATAAAGAAAATATATTTTTTTAAATTTTTCCCTTGCATACGTAGGATAAAAGACCAAAATAATTTTTATAAATTACAAATTTATTGCTATCATTTTTGGCCTAAGATGTTATAAAAATACTATTTTCTGTTTGTAATTTATTGGGGCCCCACTCAAACCTACAAAAGCTTTTAACTGCATTGAAAAGTATGAAGAATTTCAAAACCTAAATATTTCTAAATTTGTAAAATGATTCTCTAAGTGTTTTTTGAGAAAATACACATGATGATAAAAACTTTTTTATTTACAGTTTTGACAAAAAACAACTTCCTCACCATCCATGTCTGGAATTAATTGGCAGCTGTAAACAAGCTCTAACAGGTCATTCCTCGCGTTATCTCATCATCATGAAAAAAATAAAAGAAAATGTAAGTAAATTTTTAGAAAAAATTTTGTGATGTTGTAATTAAAATCATGCATTTGAAGAAAAAGCTTCTTGTTCCAGATCTAAAATGGTGTGCTATCTATTTTTTACAGAGTTCAAATATCTCAATAGCCAGATTTTTCCCCTAATTAAATTAAAAAAAAAAAAAAACAGTTTTAGTTATGAAGAATAAAATGGTTCCAAAATTGAAATCTCACTTTACTCAGTGACATTTTGCAATTTCTGCATAAATTTTTGCAATAAAAAATAGTAAATTTTTATATATAACTTTTTTTGAATTGTCGACCAAAAGCAGAAATAAATCCATTAACAATTTTTTGTAAAAAAATAGTGCTCATTATTTTATAATATTTAGTTTTTATTTCCATGTATATGTGAAACCCAGGATCTTTGGGGCTAGCAATTTGGTGCTTCCTATCATTTAACCCTACGTGGTAGAACCTGTAAGCTAACCCTAACCTATTATTTAAACTCTGAATCTATATTATAATAATCTTAAGAGACTTCTAGTGTAATATAATACACTAGTTGATATAATAGTTCTTATTTAATAAAATGCTAAGTTTTATTAATTAATATCTTTTAAACAAGGGTTGTATTTTCCTTGAAAACTAAATAAAGTTGTATCAATTTTGTAAAAAGAAAATTAAATTCTTTTATTGGCTTTCATTTTAGAATTGATTATTAGGAAATCAAAAATTTACATCAACATATTTATTTGAATTTATAAAAATGTGGTGATTTTGAACTTAATAAAATACATTGTAACGTGTTAATTTTGCTAACACTGTTTAAGATTTTCAATATATATATAAATAAGTATATATATATATATATCTTTTTATAATATAAGACACATAGCCAATCAAAATTGAGAACGCATGAGTGTGAAAAAGTAATAATTTTTAATAATGCTGCCTGCTGAATTGTTACAACTAAACTTACTAGCTAAAGTTTGTTAAAATTTTTATTTTGTTTTGAGTATATAATGGTGTACCAGTTTTACATTGTTGTCCATGCATTTGTATTGGCCGGGAAATCACGTGGTCCAGTTTTTTCTCATTCATTTCCATTTTGTTTTGGTTGTCATCAGCATAAAACTAATATAAGTCGTGAAGATATTGTTTTTCTATGAAGATTTTTGTATCCCTAATATAAAGTTATTTTCCTGTTTAGCTATTATTACGTTTTTAACTCAATTTTTGAGCTTAAAACTAAGAGGATAATTGTATTTTTTATTATTATTATAATGTAATTCTGCGCTACATTTTCAGATTAAGTTAGTTAGAAAGGTCTTTAAATCTTATTAACCGTCTTACAATTATTATTGTTGTGCAAATAACGTTAATATACTGTAATAAATTACTGTTAAAGATATCTGTTAAATGATTTATAACTTAATGATCAGCTTCATGCGCAATAAGATGCAAGCAAAAGTAATATTTAATATATACGCCCATTTGGTAAGCGAACTCATCAAATTTGTTTGAACAATATATTGTTATAAAATTGTTATTTTTAAAAATGATTACTTAGAAAAATTACTTCTGTTTACCAATGGATTTAAATATTTATAATACTAATAGATAATAATATTTGGACGTGGGAAGTAGAGGCACAAGCGTAAGCAAACAAAATTTCTTTTAGGAAGAAACGACAGTAATTGCGAAGCAATTATCGGGGTTGGTGAACGGTAGCGAACAGGGGGCTTAGGTCCCTAGTATATATATATGTAATCCCTTGTCAAAAATTTTAAAATCAACCAAATCTTTTTAAATTCATTGGGAAAATGGGAAGTTAAGGAAAAAAACCAGTTCATCAAGTGTTAAAAAAAGGAAAGATAATTGTATCTTTGATAGGTGTATCTGTTTTTACTACACTGCACTTTTTTTTTATACCTCAATTGAGAAAAAGAAGTTTGTCTTGTTTATGGACTCTTAATAATAGTGGAATAGCTGTTTTAAAGTTGTAGTGTTTTATTTTTTTCTCTCTATATGATAAATGTTTTAACTAAATTTTTAAATTTTTGCTTCTCAGGTTAATTGTGTCGAGAAAGGCTCTGTTCCTGAAGCTACTTCAGATTTTCGAAAAAAATATTTCACTGGCCATAAGAATAAAGATTCAATATGAGAAACAATGTATACACTATTTTAAATATTTTGTATGAACAAACTAGAATAAATTTTTAATTTTTATAAAAATGAAAAAACAAAACCATATAGTTTCAGTAAATTATTCCTGGCTCAAATATTATTTTTGTGACCATTATAAGAAAGATTACACAAGTGCATTCCGAACAATATCATGGAAATCACTGTCAAATTCTCCCCCACATTTTTCAAATTATATATACATATATTTTTATCATGTTGAGGGTGTCATGATGAATATTTTTATTTAATTTTCAAATAACTGCTGAAAATTTCTAGAATCACTTTAGAAAAAATTAGTATAAGAAGCTGAAGTCTCCTTTTTATAAATAAACTAAATGTTTTAAAGATTTGTAATCTATTTAATTAGTAAATGTTAAAATCTGACATTTAAACCATACAACATAAATATACATTTATATATATCAAAAGTGATTATAAATTTCGATATAAAATTTGAATCAACAAATCAATGCCACAAGAAATGTTTGGAGTAGATTATTTAGAACCAGGCTTCAAACTTGAAAATAATTTGTTTCCTCTCAATTGAGTGCAGATACCGTGCATAAACCTATGGATATGAGTGTCTCTGTCTGTTTTTTTACTTTCGAAAATTACAACTAGTGTCATTCTTGCTTCAATTTTAGACATGAAGTATGTTGCATTCATCCTCTGAAATAAAAAACACAACAACTTAGGACTGGTCATAATGTATAGTATCTAAAAAAACTAAACTCAGTGACACGACAGCCTATAGAGGCCTAAGGCCTACTGTGCCCATCTCAGTTTTCTTGGGCTCTGGGGTGCAGGAGCAGATGTTCCGGTTAGGTGGTCAGCCAAACGCGGAACCCCCAGTGTTTAGTTCCCATGCATACTTCGTACTCATTTATCGACCAGAGGCTGAGTCAACCTTGCCTGGCCCGAGGATCGAACCCAACACCTGTGGCAAGGGAGCGCGAAGCGCTACCACTCAGTCACCGGGCATCAATGTATAGTATCAAAGAAATAAAAAAATAAAGCCCAAATAAAATTTTAAATACCTGGTATTGTTTTAATATACTAATGAAATTATAAATTCCATACTAACTAATGCTACAAATTCGTAACTAACATTTACAAATTCTTTCACTGTTTCGATTAAAATATTGTATTATTTTAGCTGAAATGCAAAATTCTGCATTAGTGTACAGTGCACCAAAAAGCAGACCACCCTGAATAACTTTTGATCTAATAATCGGATTTTTACATTTTATGACTCAATCTTAATGGTTCGAGGGGATGACCTCAAATATGCTAATAATAAGAGTAGACGATGTTTTAAGTTACGAAATCAGACACAAAAACGTACAATCTCTGAATAAACATACTATTCTTTTTCTAACTCTTACGTTTAGTAGCCGTAATTAGAGAAACATAGTCCCAATAGTTTGGCCTGGAACGCTTCAAAGTTTGGACCCGTAATGTTAATTTTATTTTTTGGGTATTTCACTATATCTCAAGAACTGTTTAAATTAATTGAAACAAATAGAATTAAATTAATTAAAATTCGATTTCTCAGGAACTATTCAGCCGATTTTGCTCAAGTTTTGTATTATTGGGTCCAAAGCACCCAGATTGTAGCTATGACCTATTTTCTTGAGGTCAGAACTTATGCCTGATTCAGATTATGCCTGCCTGATTTAGAGCTCTATTTATTTTTATTCAATTTTAACAATAACTTAGTCACATGACAAATATAGCTCAACACTGAAAAATGGCATGAAAATCCAAAGCAAATCTGCAAAACAAAATGCAGATTTGCATTTTGTTTTGCAAGTTAGCTGAACAAATTCAGCTAACTCACGATTTTATCAGATAAGGGTTATAATTATTTTTTTTTTAGAATCTTTAGTGGTCTACTTTAGAAGATCTTATAGTCAAAGTTTGTATTGCAATCTATGCATTAAGAACCTTGGGTCTGTACCAGTGGTTCCCTAAAGATGCTTCCCAAAACCCAAGAATTCCGAGAAAGAATCACAGGGGCTTCAAGAATTGGAACTTTTTAGCTTGAAATACATTAATTCATTATATAATATTTAGGCTAGTGTTATGAAATTATTTAAATAAAATGCAAATAAAAAATTAAATTTTAAAATTTAAAAAAATTATTAAAAAAAATTATGAAAAGAATATGTTGCTATAAAAAAATACATTATTTTCCACTGAATTTTTCAATTAAAAAGATATGCACGAAACAAATTCAGAACTTGACTAGATGCCTCATTATACTCGCGAATTCAACTGTGTCACATAAAACCCTGTTTCAAGTCTATTATTAAAGAGTAAAAGAAAAGAAAAAAAATTCATTCTTCACATTAAATATTCTAAAATTTACTCTTGTTCTCTTTCTTAAATTAATATGTTCATATGCTAATAAACTTTATTTATCAGGGATGAGAGTAGTCAGAGAGTAAAAAAGAGGAAATGCAGGAATATATATACAGTCAAACCCCGTTAACACGAAATCGTCGGGACCACCGAAATTTTTCGTGTTAACCGAATTTCGTGTTAACCGTTTAGGTAGTGGCGGCATCTAGTCAACAATTATTGAACTACTAAACAATTACTTATATATTACAGTTCTTAAAAGTTACTAATGAAGACATATTGCAAATTTAAGTGAATTTAACATAAAATTAAAAATACTAAAAACAATGAACATTTAAAAATAACTTGAAATTTGGAGAAGAAATAATGAAGTGAATTGAACNTTCTGCTAAAAGAAAGTCGATCATTTAGAGTTCCATTGCCGAAAGAAACTGAACAGCTGCTCTAGACACAATTACTAATCAAATAAAATTAGACTACGTATGTCATTTATTGAGGTATTGCCAGATTAATATACATGAAAAACTTCACTTTAGTTTTTTTTCTCACTTGTTTATATTTAAAAAAAACTATAAAAAATGTTGAAATTTGTTACACAAATATGTTGTGAAAAAAAATAACTTGATGTATAACAGAAAAAAAAACATTTTGAGATAGTGATTATAAGTTTAGATTCAGTTACATAAAACTATGACATTTTATACTACAATTTTAGAATTTCTTACATTATAATAGTATACAATAATTGTTACATCAATTCTTATGTTTAAACTCTTTTCAAGAATTGAACAAAAAAATCATTTAAATTATTTTTAAATTTAAATTTTTGTTTTGAAATTGAGAACTGTATCATTTACATAAAAATTTGATAACATAAAACATTATTTAAACATATTTTAAGAGTACCCCATTCTTGCTAATATTTTTGGAAATATCTCGGTCATCTTACTAAATGTGCTAGATTTGTTAAAAGACTTAGATATTATTTAAGCCGCAGAGCTCATGATTAGTCATGATTTTTTAAAATTTACTTATTATTGAACTTTAAGCGAGTAGCTTTCTTGCAACAAAAATCTGGTTTATCCCTATGTTGTTCAATAAGAAAAGTTGAGTATAGTAAGAAAAATTTATCTAAGGGCTCAAAGCTTGGATGGTTAAAAAGTTATATTTAAATGGAAAAGTTATTAAACAATTTTTATGCTATATTTAAATTTATTATAGAATACTTACAAGATCATAAAATGAGACAGCAGTATCAGTGTTTCTAATATCTTGTTCTTTGTTATTCATGATCATTACAACACTTGGCCAATGACAAGAATGTTTTTCTTGAGAGAAAAAATTCTGAAAAAAAGGAAAGAAAAATTCACTTTAATATAAAGAGAAAATTTTGTTTAATGCTTTGAAAGTCTAAAATATACTAGGTTAACAGTATTAATCTCAAGTATTAATACTGTTAACCACCTAGTAAAATAGTATTAATCTCATGTAAGTGAAAAAAAAACAAGTTAGAAAAAGACAATTATTAATAGTTTACTATAGATTACTGTTGTAGAATGATTCAGTGGCAAATGGTTGCATTGAATAAAGAGGTCATATTTGATAACAAAGAAATTAAATAGCAGTAAAACAATTAAAACCAACAATATGATGGTATGGTATTTTTAGAGCTTTCCAATAAACCATCTATTGCCTGCCACGTAAGTATTAATACAGAATTATTGTGAGTGATTACAATGCCCTCTTTTGGTCAGGCAGAAATTCGTAAAAATTACAATAAATTACAGTTTACAATCTCTGCTCAAAAGCCGACCGGCCTGTGTAGGAGTCAGGGAACTGGCCTTGCATCAGAAAGGTTCTGGGTTCGAATCCCAGGCAAGGCATGGATGTCCTTTCCTTCTCTGTACTATCTGTCCTTGCTGTGGGAGCAACGTTGGCCCACCTAATATAGTGCTCTAGCAAGAGTGGCCAACAAATCTACCCTTCAGATGCCCGTATGACGAAAGCCCAAGTCAAAATTCCGGAAAATTCCACGAGTTAAAGAAAAAAAAAAAAAAACAGTTTAAATTGAAATATTAGAAAAAAATATAAACACGGTTTTTTTTCCTTTTTCTCAATATTTCTTAGTTTACTTAAAATATATTTAAAATTTTACACATATCTATGATGACATGGAGAAGTAATTAAAATTTACAAATATGTCTTTCTTTCTTGAGTTATGATTATAACAACTATTTACTGATAAAAAATGAACATTAATCATGAATATAAGCTTATAAAGTAAAGTCTCTCTGTCTCTCTCTTACAAACAAATAAAATAAACTGTGTTTTTAAACCTTTGAAAATTTGATTTCCGGAAACTTCTGTGATCAATGATTTTTTGAAACATCTGGACCTTCGATCTCCGGAAACTTCCGGATCACTGTTAGCGAAAATTCCGGAAATCCGGATTTTTTCCGGAGCACAATCAGCCCTGCGAAAGATCATTTTCCAGGGCGGCGTTGGAAAAAAAATAATTGCTCAAAACAGTGACTACCAACAGCGATACTAGCTCCATAGCAGCACATGTATTGACATAGATTAGTAAACAATAGCGCTCGCTACCAGCTCAACACAGTATTTCCGCACACATATTCTTTTGTGAAATATACCTATTTAGTTCCTCTCTATCTGCCTCTATATATAGTTTTGAAACACCCTGTACACATAAAACTGTATATTCAATATTTCAACCCTATTAGTATATTAAAATAAATGTTTAAGAATTATGAATACTTAGTTACCAGTTATAAGGACCATGAAGCTAAGTCTGCTATATATGTATATAGATATGTTTATGCATATATGGGTGTACACGTTTATACCAGTGTTAGGGACGGGAAATGGAATAACATAGTTCTTATAACCATTAAGTACATAATTATGGTAATACTTATTTAGAATTTATAATGAACATGCTTCTGATTTCAAAGAAATGTTAAGATTTATAATATAAATTAGAGATGTATGATTACCATTACAGTTAATTTTAAGTCACATGTTAATGATAAAAGAAAATTTCCCTTCCAAAGTAACAGTTACTAGCTATGGCTATTTTTCTCTATTAGCTCTATTATATCAAGAGCTATATATTTTATTTCACCAATAGTTGAAACGCCTTAGATATTCTGTTAAAATTTTTTCTTACGTGAATGAAATGTTTTTGAGAGTCCAAGAGACTTGTAACAGGAATTGAACAGGAATTGTCCTAATTTGTAACAGGAATTGTTTATCAAAAATTTAAAAAAAAATTTTGTAAAATGAAATTAAACTACTTGTAAAGTAGCTATATAAGCACTGTAAAAACATCTTTTAATATTTGACCTGCCTTTTGTTAAATGTTATCTCAATCCCCTTCCTTAAATGCAGGAATTTTTATTTTTAATAAATGTTTGAAATCAACTGATAAAACAGGTTAATGAAAAGAATTAAAAAAAAAACATTTAAAAATGCATTGAAGTATTATTACATTATTATGAACAACCACTCCTCGAGTTCTACGAATTTATTGTATAAAATAATATAATATTTCGAGCATAAAATTTTATACAAATTAATGTTTTCAAACACAATCACATTTTATATAAATAATCGCAATTCATAACATCTGCTGAAATGATATTGTACTCGGATACTGGGCCAACAATGTAAATTGCCACAGATAAAGAAATAAATTGTCAAATATTCTACAGTAGGGAACCGATTATCCGGAACGATCGGGACCATCGCTATTCCGGATAACTGATTTTTCCGGTTTTCTGAATCGCTACAAAAAGCTGTTTTTTTTTACTGTTAAACCCAACTAAAGAAAGAAAAATAATAATTTGAAAATAATCTTAAATAGAAGAAAAAACGATGAAGTAATACACTAATGATTATTTTCAAAATGATGGTAAGGTAAACATCTTTCAAAATAGAAAGAAAAATCCCAAAATCCTATGAGGAAAAAAAAAAAATTTTTTTTTTGAAAATGGCGGGAAAATTTATTGAATTTCGTTCCGGTTTTCTGATTTCCGGATAACGGGTTCTGTACTGTAGTTGCATTCAAAACTATGAAATTATTTGGTAAAATTAAGAACACGATGCCAAGGTTGCTACATAAAGAAATATGAGATTTTAAACATATGGTACAGATTTACATCACTATGCATTATTAACCCTGGTGAAAATAAACATAAAAATTTAAGTTCACTCACTGGAGGATAAGAAACTATTGTTGGAAATGAATCAAGCCCTTTGGGTGCTTCATAATGTTTACCAGGACAGGTGTATCCATGACCAGCATATCCCTCAAGACCATTTGTATCAAGAACGATGGCTAAACAGGCAACATCATAACGTTTTTGAAATGTCATAATCCTGAAATTGTATTCATTTCTTAAGATGGAAAACAAATATGATTTTTCTTTTTAAAAAAAAGTCGTGCTTTTCTGAGTGAAAAAATTTTAACGAATTACATAATAAATAAAACATAAAAATAAGGATGAAATCAAATGGCATTATAGCTAAGAATAAGGAAAATTGTTTTCAAGGAAAACATACTTGGAGAAATAGTCGACAGAAGCTTTGGAACAAAAACTTTTCATTTCCGGAGGAGTAGTTTGCTTGCTTAAATTTTCATGAAAATATAATGTGAACTAGAAATAAAAAAATATAAAAAATGAGCATTTCTCAAAAAAAAAAAAAATATTTAAAGCAATGTAATATAAATATTTTTTAAAGCATTTATGATATACAAAAATAACAAGCATCAAATAACTATTATGGAATATAAAATTGCATTGCGAAATTAACTATCAAGTTCACTTTTTTATGATTATTATTGTAAATAAAGTTTATAACAGTGCAAATTCAATTTAAAGTTTTAAATCAGCATAAAATAAAAATATATAATTTTATTATAGAAGCACATAATAAAAAAACAGAATAAATGTTTTGATATAATTTTAAAAACCATTCTGTTAAAGAATGCATCTAAAGATGGTAATTAAGTATTATATGTACTAAAAAAATATGAATGAAAATTTTGTTAAATCAAGTTCACTTTTTTATGCTGTATATAAAGTTTATAATAGGGTGAATTCAATTTGAAGTTTTAAATTAGCATAAAATAAAAATTTATAATTTTATTATATAAGCATAAAAAATAATTTGAACAAATGTTTTTATATACTTTAAAAAAATTTTTTTTTTAAAGAATGCAACTAAAAATGGTAATTAAGTATTAAACTAAAAAAATATGTATTAAAATTTTGTTAAAAAATATCATTTTTTGCATTCAATGAGGTGATTTCAAATTAAATAAAAAAATACTAGTCTAACTTCATTTTATAGCAAAAACTTCTGAGCACAAGAAAAAGGCTAATATTTAAAATATATTTTAATTAAAAAATTTTCTGTTTTGTAAATTTTGCATAAAATTTGTAACAAAATTATGTTTGGAACAATATGAATCAAACAAAATGTTTCAAACTTTGGATGGCATTTTGGTTAAAATGAAAGAAAAAAAAAAGATTTTTAATTGTAAAATTAATCTTTCAATTTTGAATATTTTACATTTATTACAAATATTTGCAAAATTCATCAAGATTCATAGTTTTTCAATGAACACAAAGATTAAAGACGGTAAGTTTTGTATTCTTATACAATAATGAATAATCCTACAAACTGTAATACATTATAAAATTTTTAACAATAACAAAAAAAGATTTGAAAAAAAAAATAGTTATTCAAATTCATTGGAAGCATCACATTTTAATAAATTTTGTGTGTGACTGAACTATAGATAAATCGTGCATAGAATTAAAACTTTTTTTCTATTTGGCTAGAATGGGTAAACATTTAGATAGTCCATAGGGTTGAGAATACTTTAGGTTAAACTATATTGTTACCATTATCTAAGTTCATTCGTGATTTATTCATGAAATAAAATTGTGATCAACAATATTTTAATTAAAAAAAACTTATCTTTTTATTTATAAATGTTGTTCAGTGAAAAATAAGTAATAAAAATATATAAATTACCAGACCTTCAAAACACCTTTGTAATATTTTTTAAAAAAAAAGTCAATAATTCATCAGTTTTAACATTCCATATTTGTAATAAATTATATTTACAGTAGGTTATATTTAATTATTTTAAAAATATTCAAATGAGGCTTAACAGATTTATGTTGCAGAAATCATTTTGAAAATATGTACAAATTTAGTAAAATCAGATAAAATAAAAATTATACAAATTAAATTTAATATTTAAAAATTATTTTTATATTATGACTGATTTCTTGTAGTATAAGGGTGTTACATAATTATATCATAAAAGTTTTGTAATTTAAATATCAGTATTTTTAATGTGTAGTTAGAATTTAATAAACAATGAGCCAGGGTTGGGGTTTTGGACAGGATATGTGGGTTTTACTGTCGTAAACTGTCCTAAACTGACTAAAACTGTCCAAAATCTTAAAGTATCCAAAACCTTGAACTTTGGTAAAAATTCTATAGGTGTAACCATTGCACACATAATAATTACATATCTTAGATACTTTTTATACAATTTGCTTTAACTTATTAAAGGAAAATAATATAATAGGAAAAGATTTATAACTTTTGAAGCTTCACAAGTTATTGAACAACAAAAGTGAATACCTTACCCTTTAAATATGAATAATTGTGCTTTTAATACTGATAAATTATGTTTTTGCATAAGGATAAATAATGCAATATTAAAAATAATAATAAACTTTTATAACAAAACAAAAACTTGTCTTTTATGTTTCTTGTTCAAAAATTAACCTTTTATTTTTCACAATATTTTTTTTAAAATTGTGACATAATTTGAATAAAAAGCTGTTGGACAAAGGGGTTTTAGACAGGACGGTTTAAACCGTGGATCCATTCTGTCCTAAATCTTGCCAACTCTGCAATGAGCTATTTAAAAACTAGAAAACATTTTTAAACAATTGAAAACTTTAAAATTACTATAACCTACTTACTATTCCCTGGATTCTAATATTAAAAAATTGGACATGGATGTCAACATCAGTAATTGCTCATAAAACTACGTAAAACAAAAAAACAAATTTAAAGTTTATAAGAAACAGTGAACCATAAAAATTAGTGATTCACAGATAATAAAAATCTTCTTGTTTCTTATATATAGAAATAAAGATTGCTGTACAGGAATTAGATGATGCGACACGACCACAGTTAAAATGAATGTTACGAAATGTTAAAATGAAAAAAAGTACCATTGTATTATCAGCATACATTTTATTATTTTCATATACCTCTTCTTATCTTTAATTAGTGTTCTGATAACATTTTGTCATTGTAAAAAATGAAAACCAACAATTATCACCAAAAGTATAATAGGATTAAAAGACAGTACAGAATAGGAATGACCAGTCAAAATATCACGTAACAGAATCTTGTGCAGACAAAATATTGCAGAAATAATAAAATAATAGCCAGATAAAAATTATATTTATTGTAAGAATTTCATGCAAAATTTTATTTAAGAAGTGAAATGTAAATATATTTCCTGCAGATAAATATTTTGCTGCTATTGCACTCAATTAACCATTACACTTTGAGAAATTATAATTTTTTTTATTATCAATTTACATTTTGTAAAACAGCTTAACCTAGTTTTATCAATATTCTAATTAAATTTCATTTTATAAGATTATAAGCCTTAAAAATAGGAAGTCCATACCAATAAATCATAAAAAAATGACGTAAAACAAAAGGAAAATTAAATCTTCATATTGCATAGTAACAAAATTGACTTAATGCATATAAAGTAGTCTAAGTACAGTAGGGAACCGATTATCCGGAAAGATCGGGACCATCGCTATTCCGTATAACTGATTTTTCCGGTTTTCTGAATCACTACAAAAAGCCGTTTTTTTTATTGTTAAACCCAACTAAAAAAAATTTATGGAAATAATCTTAAAAAGAAGAAAAAACGATGAAGTAATACACTAATGATTATTTCCAAAGTGATGGTAAGGTAAACATCTTTCAAAAAAGAAAGAAAAATCCTAAAATCTTATGAGGAAAAAAAATATTTTTTTAAAAAATGGCGGGAAAATTTCTCGAATTTCGTTTCGGTTTTTTGGTTTTCTGATTTCCGGATAACGGGTTCTGTACTGTATTACATTTTAAAACTAACTGGATTCAAAACAACAACTTAGTAATAACTTAGTCAATAACATCAAAAACTCAAAATTAATAATTCAACAAAACAAAAAATATCTTTAGTATATAACAAAGGAAACAGAGGAAAGCAGAAGACAATATGCATACTTTTGAGACTAGAGCAGATTTCAAAGTTCTCAACCAATTGTATAGAAGAGGAGGAGGTGCTGGTTTAAAAAAGCTAGATGACTTTTTCACCTATAAAAATTGAAAATTTTTTATTAAAAAAAGCTTCACAAAATCCATTTATTAATAAAGCATTGAAAATTTCATTTGATACTGTCACTGCACATCATAAAAATGCACTCCTATTTGCTCTTAGTCTGGAGTTTACATTATAAAAAAATTATATACATGTATACAAAAATAAATAATACATATTACATATCTGCCAACATTGGAGAATTCTAATAACAGAGATTTTACTAGCGACACTTTTTAGGCTACGAGTAAAGTTTTGATGCATCATGCACAATCATGTAAGTCAAAAAGAGAAATTAAAAATAATATAATTTGGCAGACTTAATTCTTACATTACTTTATTCTTACATTTCGCGAAGTAAAAATTATGTACATAAATATTAATCTTAAGAAGATTTTTTAAACCATTATTTATAATTACTTCAACTATTAACACTCAACATACTGTTGTACTGGCAATAGTACCATCTGGGTTACCAGGAATAAGAGAGGTATTTTGGTCATCAGAGGATATTTTATTGCCAAAAATTATTTTTCAATTTCTTCAAGAAATATGGAGAAATTTGAGAATATACGGTTAAACAGGAGATAGTCGTAAAATACAGGAGTCTTCAATAAAAAACAGGAGACTTGGCAGGTATGATATTACAACAGAAGGGACAATAAGACTAAAAAAATGTCCCGGACTTGTCCAGATTAAACTTATTGAATTTCCTTGGTTTTATGAAATTGGTGGCATAAAAGTGATCATTAATTTTTTTGGCTTTGGTTTATTCTGATGAATAAAATATAATACAAAATATTAATAGCTTGTAACATAAGTTGAAAATAATGTTTTCTTCTTTTAATTACAAGATCAAAAAAATGGACTTCTAGGTACTTCAAACTCAAATTAATTTCTTTTCTTTGAATTTTTGGATATTTTAGTTTAATTCCCTGAAACTTGTCTAATTTTTCTATTATGATAAGATTCACTGATTTTCCTACTCTGTAGTCACCCGGAATAATTAATCGATTGCAGAGGGTTCACATTACTTAAAGATGCATCTGATTACTAATTTAAAATTAGGTTTAGAGCAGTGAAAGAAAAAAAAATATTTATTTTAATTAATTTTGATGTTACAGTTTTTTGAGAAATTACTTACTGTTATATTTTTTTAAGAAAAAAAAGTTTCCCATACAATAAATTTAAAAAAAATCTAAATTAAAAAAGAAAAAAACTACTTATATGAAATTACATCTTTCGGTAATGAGAGCCAGGCACCTAATTTTGAATGAGCATCATGCAAGCACAACAGTGAAGGCAAAAATCTCCAGTTTTGCATGTGTATTTCAGCTTCAAGTAATTTCACCAAAATCTCACATTCAGAGCTACAAAAGAAACATGCATATACTTTTATAAATCATTCTAAAACAGTCTTTTATTTCAAAAGACTTAAAATATTTTTTTACAAAATTAGTAATATGTAATTTTGAGTTACCTAATTTATATAAGGTGTTTCGAAATTAATCAAAAAGAGTTTTGGAACATTATACTGGATATTCAATTTTACATAATATCAATTTTAAAAAAAGTGCAAGAAGATATGAATGTATGGATTTCTGCATTCTGCTTAGGAAATTATAATTTTATTTTCATAAAATTTTGTAAATTTAAAATTAGTAAATTTAAAATAATAAATTTGTTGTAAATTTAAAAGCTGGCGCAGTCTACTAAAAACTCTATAAAATAATTTTTTATGCTGCATGTCAGATCATTTCAACTGAAATATTTGCATGGGAATCTACTAATTTTGTCCACCGATTGCATTATGTTATTGCTGCAAATGGTGATTATTTTGAAAACATTATTTTTTAGATTAATCTCTTTCATCATCAATATCTGTTGACAAACTTTGCAGTTAATTTTATAAACTTTGGTGAGAATAAATTGCCTAGTTTAGGAATATACTTTTTTATCATCTTTTGTTTTTATTCTTTTTGATTTCATTTGTCATTTTTGAAGTGGTCTATAATATATATATAACATAATAAATAAATACAAAAAACATGAAGAAAATTAAGAAAAACAATAGACTATAATAATTGCAATAAACAATAATTCACACTATTGTATTGATATATTTTGTTTTGGCTATATTGATACAATATTAGAAAGCACTCTTTTTTGCGGATATAATCGTGTGGGCTGATTGAAATATTATATCTTTCATTTTCGGATATTTTAAAAAAAAATTTGTCCCCCCCCCCCGTTTTTCATTGTTCTGTAATTTCTCCCTTGTTTTATCTACATTTTTGAACTTATATACATATATGGATATATATATATGTATATATATACAGTAGAGCGCCGATTATCCGAACGTCCAATTATCCGAACCATGTCCGAATTCGTTTCTTTTTTTTCTATTTAAAGTTTAGAATAATTTTTAACTTATCGACAATTTTTCTAAATTTAGAAGAATTAATAATATCCACTACATCTGAAGACCATATTTAATTTACAACCTTTTTTAGCAGTTTTCTTATAGTAGCCGATACATACATGCATTGTTATACAGTTAAACCTACATACCCCTTTAGCCCTCTTCCACTGAAAACTATTTGAATCAAGAATGCGAGTTTTAATTTGACAGTCTACAATGGTTGAAAAGAGGAAGAAGTTTATGAATAGATATGTGCTGAAGATTTACAATAGGGGGATGGGTACTTGTCACTTATTGTTAATGATTAGTGATTACAGTGCTTGGAATCTTAAATCTAGGAATAAAATTCTTAACAAATAAATAAATGAAACAGAAGCTTCTGAACCAGTAGATCTTCCCGATGAAAAGATGCCAGGTTATACAGCAGAAGAAATAGAAGACTAGTGTCGAGACACTGAAAATCACCCAGAACTTCAAATTTTAAATGATAATGGAATTGATGCTGAAATTTTGCATGAAAATCGGAACTCCACAGACGAAGAGAAAGAAGTAGGTGATCAATTTCAAGATAGTGGACCTTCTCATATAGAGGCATGCAATTCACTAAATATTGCAATGAATTGGCTAAAACGTCAAAATGATGTTGATCCAGTTCAGTTGATTTATTTAAAAAGAATAAGGGATATGGCTGCTCAAAAAAGAGCATCTTCTTTGAAACAAAAGTCTTTCCCGTATTTCTCTTGCAATGGAAGATAAGAAAAAAAAAATTTAAAATCAGTAATTGATAAAAAAAATTTATAAAAAGCTGAAATATGGTAAAAATAATTCAAAATGAAAAAAAAAAGTTTAAAAAAATAAAATAAAAAGTATTTAAAAATTGAAAAAAAAAAAAACAACTTTTAAACACGCCAGGACTATATTAGATAGTACTCTGCCAGTCCTAAGTCTAGAAAATATGTGAAGGGAAGTTAGTGCATAAATAATAATAATTTAAACAACTTTCCAATTATCCGAACTTTTTATTATCCGAACCATGTTCGGTCCCGAGCAGTTCGGATAATTGGCGCTCTACTGTATATATGCATGTATATATACATACAGTTGAACCCTGCTTTAAAATTTTCAGTCGGACTAGAGTTAAAAACGCACTAAGTGGAAAACGAGGGTAAAAAAAAAATATATATTTTTCAAAATGTAACACTTACGAGATGACTATTAGAAAAAATGTGTAATCATTACTTTAGATACAATTTACCCAACAATGTTCTTTTTCAAAACTTACTATTGTTCACAAATTTGCTTTTTGGTTTACATTTGAAAATAAATATTGTTTCAGAGTTTTTATGCTTTGGAACTCTTGTACAACTGTGGATATAGCTGTTGATATTTTTTACTTATCTTCATCGTTTTTATAACTATCATCGGAAGCAGGCATTAAACTAGATATTGAAGGAGTTAACAAGCAATAGGGATGTGTGTTGCAGTCGATATACATATCAGCAACAAATCTTTAGCCATGCAATGTTATTCTGAAGAGCCAATGTTCCTGTCGGATCCAGAGAAGACTACATTAATAAAACCACATTCGAAATGCATTTTATTCAACACTGTCAAAATCAAATTCAAAGCTTCGAGGACATTCATTTTTTGTTATGAAAGCATCTTGCAAGTCACCAGAATCAGAAAAAGAAATGATTACTTAAACAGGTGGTAAGCATAACATTCTTTAAATGATTGAATAATTCTATGATTCAAAGATTGAAAAGAGGAGTGGAAAAAACTCACTTGCAAAAATTGCAATTTAATCTCCCATACTTACTTAGTTTTACCACACTTCTTCTACTTAGCCCATCACACCACCTTTCTGATTTTGACAAATTGGTTCCCTCTCACAGATAAAAGGACGATGAGATTGAAAAGAAAGAATGTCAGAACAGCTTCCAACAATTATTAAACCAGCCTCTATTCCTTTTTATAAAAGAAAAAATATTACGAACGTTTGTGTGAACTTTGTAGAGAAAAAATGGTTTTGATCTGCAAGAAAAACATATAAAGCAGGATTTCTTTACAAAGATCCTGAGATAATTTAATATTACTGGAAAAGGCTATTATCACGATACAGCAGAAAGAAAATGACAAAGGAAGCGGGATAACCTATGAAACAGATAACGTAAAGAGGTTTCATTGTATATATATATTGTACCTAAAAGCAATTCAAATTTTAGTACAAGTTAGACAAGAGGCTGAAAAGAATATTTTTTTTCTTAGAATAGTAAAAATAAATTTGAATACCTAAAAGAGGACTTTAGTGGTGATAACATAGGATGATGGAAAAGTTTCTGATTTGATTTTACAATATCTGATATCATCGCTAATAGCTGTTCAAACTTCATAAATCTAGTTGAACTCATGGAATGCATTTTTTCATAACTAAGTATCAGCTAAGAAAATATATGTTATATTACATAGAAATTTTTCATAAAGGTATATAAATAATGAGAAATGCAAAACATGCATGCATATTAGGCACAGTATTTATAAAATATAATTTATAGATTCTTTTTTTTAAAGAACATAGGCAAGTTATATTTTACAACAGTGATGCATAAGCAAGGTTTTCCCTTTCTAAAAAAAACAAAAAAACAATGATAATGTAAAAGGAATTTAATTTTTACCTTTGATTTTAATTTTCCTTTTGTGAGAATTCATTTTTGCATTTAGAGCTGCAATTTATTTGTTACATTAGAAGATAATATCCATAACTTTTTTTTTTAAATACATGGTGATTAACTCACTGTGAATATAGAAAAACACATGTAGGTTGAGGTTAAACAACAAATTTAATGAGGCTTAATATATATATATAGCTCAAAAATAATAAACATAAGAATGACTATAATAAGAAAAGAAAGAAATTTAGAGGATTTTACATGGAAAAAAAAACAGGCATTTTTATTCATGGGCACAGGATAACACGTACTTTAATTACTGTTATAAAATAATAAATCTGTTAAATTTAAGCTGCTATGAATTTGGCAGAAAGTTTAGGCAGAATATTTCAAGACAGAAAGTCTGAGCTCATGCATATGTCATACGTTAATGTATAATTCGAAGTCTGATACGTCATAGGTAAATTGAAAAACTTGGCTTTCAACAAATGTCTGTTGTAATTTTGCAACGAACCGGTTTGGAAAAGTTTCCAGTGTTATCTATTCGTGTTTGACAGTTTTTAAGCGTAATGAACCCACTTAACTTTATGCTAATTAGGGAATATGTCATCAATTGCTAAATTTTCATGTTAGTAGTAAATTTTATGTTTCATTAAAAAATAATCAGTTCCGATATATGTAACATTTTTTATCATAACTTGCTTAAATAGAACAAATATGAAGGATACAACTCCATTGTCTTCAAGCGTGCCCTAACATAACTCAATAATTGTCCACATAAATGACTAGCTAAATTTTCCAGAATATCTTCCCCAAGGTAAGTAGGAAAAGTGTGTACACTACCACGTGCTGAGCTACCAATACTTATAGAACTAGCAGTTGATCCAGAAACTTCACTGCAGGCACTGATTGGAGAAGGTGATGGCAGGGCAGTGGGTGGAGAGGGTGTTCGACAGGATGATGTTGGAGACATGGTAGGTGTTGATACAGGAGTTATATAGTGTTTGTCTTCAAGTTTTTGATACTCATTTAAAAGGGTTTCATAGGTTGATTTTAAGGTACTCTGAAAGTTAAAAGTAATAATGTTCAATTGAACTAAAAATACAAAAATTGTTATCAACAATAATAGTGAAACTAATAAAACATTCTGAAAATTTCATTATTTTTGTTACCTCATGTTTTTTTTTAAATAAAACATTTATAGAACTTATTATAAAAGTATGACTCTAAAAATGCTGCAATTCTTAAAAATCAACGCAGTTTGTTTTCTGGAGCAAAATTAATCTTTTATTATAAAAACAATGATTTCATACACAGTCAAACCAATAATATTGAACTGTGTTATATAGTAAAATCAACGTAGTTTGTTTTCTGGAGCAAAATTAATCGTTTATTATAAAAACAATGATTTCATACACAGTTAAACCAATAATATCGAACTGTGTTAAATAGTATTAAGCATTTATTTTATAAAAAAAGGGGGGGGGGGCAAAATCATAGCAAACTGACCACCAGTTTATGTAATCTGTTGACAAGTGAAGTAAACTAAATTTGACTGGAATTGTTACGAAATTCTAATTTAAATACTTTATAAGTTGACCACATGATAAAATAAAAACTGTTTGTAAAATATTTATGTATCAGTATTTAACTTAATGTGCAGAATTTTAAAAGTTCCTAAGAGTTTTAAAGATACGTACTTTACCATGTAACAAAAAAAAATAAATCAATTTCTAATTAGGTGGTAAGGCTAAGAGCACTAATTTGCTGCCCAAAAGATCAACATATACAGTTAATATTGTACATTAATGCAGAAAAACTAAGATAGCATTTTGTTTTTTTGATACTTTTATAAATAAAAAATGACTCAGAAAAATAAGTATAGTTAAAAATTTAGGTTTTGAGTTTATGTATAAAGAAAAATAGGGTTTTAAATGAAAAAATTCAAGTCATATTTTATTATCTTAGAATCATTATTGAGGATTTTTTTAAATTTTTTTTTTACAGAAAACATATGTCTATGCTCTTTACATCTATTCCAAGTCATGAAAAATCATTCCAAAAATAACAATTTTGAATTTTTGTACAGAAAGAAAACTGAAGGAAGGGTCAATTCTCTTTATTGGCATTTTTCTTTAAAGTTTGAATCAAAAGTCAGTGAGGGTCACTCAATATAGGAAGAGATCTACTATTATATCAAACATATATCTAATTCAAATGAAAAAGGGTGGCAAAGTTGTAATAATTTGGTCAAAATTTTAACTCAATAATAATTTTAAATGCCTGTTTATAATGACAAACTTGGCCTTCCTCCGTTATTAAAAGAATATATATTATCAGTAATTTTCTTATTTATTGTGTAGTTGAAATCTATTTTAAGAGTAAAAACTTTTTTTACAAGTGTTAAATTGTGATAATTGTTTTCTGTGAATAAAACATGCTGAAATTTATTTTTTTAGAAAAAGGATTAAATGTTAACTTAAAAGTTAAATGATATTCAGAAACTACGAAACGTAATGACTTTTAATGCCGTGACAAACATTTAACTAGAATTTCAGATGGAAGGATGTTGAAGGAGTTTATTTATTTATTTTTTTAGTTTGAGAAAATCTCTTCAAGAAACTTTTTGAAATTAATTCTAAATATAAAAGCTTCAAATATAGGTGAAATTTATTTCAATAAAAGTAAAATAGTTTAGAATACAATAAGAATGTAAATTTTCTCACATCCTTTCGTAAAAAACCCTTTGGTCCAAGGAACATAAAATTTGAATAACTCTTTTCAGCAGGAGCTAAAGCTGCAAAGGCTGACAAGGCAGAACTAAAGAAAGGGGCAACTGCATGATTTTTTACTGCTACATCTCGTTCTTTTTCCTAAAAAGAAATCCAGAAATAAGAACATACTAAAAAATATATAAGTCAAGTTTTGTTGGCAAAAAATCTTTTTTTTTAAATTTACAAACTGGTACAATGTTTTGCTATTATTTTTTAACTAATTTTTATACATTAAAATGAAAAACATTGGAATAAGTCTTATTACAGACAATACAGAAATAAATTAATAAAAGTAATTGAAAGAAATTAAAAAAACTAAGCATTTAAAATTTCATAACAATTTAAGACACAAACAAAGACATGATATCATATGAACATTTCATATTTTGTCATAACATATATTGTTATTGTAATACATATCTTATCACTAAAATTTTCTCTGAACTTTTCTTTCCATTTAAATTCATTAATGCTTATGGTTCACTTTTAGTAATAATTGAAATTATAACCAATTATCACAAAATTTATTAGTTAATCATCAATAGTGGTGACATTATAAAGTCGTGTAGTATCTGAAGTAAAAGCAAAATAAAAGTTAACAAAAATTAGAAGATTATCATTTAAAAATGTTTTCTACTTCTTAAATGTTTTCTAAGCTAGTTTTAAGATTTAAATCAAATGTTTTGCAATAATATTTATTTAAATGCACATAGTATCAACAGGGGTGATTGTGAGCCCAACTCGAAAATCCTGAAAATTTCTTGAATAAAATCATTAATGATGCATTTCAAAAAAATTTGTCTTTATAAATTTAAATTATTGATATTTTCAAAACATGAAATTCTAAATAAATTACATGCAGCATAATTTAAATGAATAATTATTTATAAGTCACCTTTTTTCTCTAATCATATTCTACCAGAAAAAATATTTACAAATGAAAGAGTATAAATTCTAGTTCTAATATTTTTAAATAAAATGTACAAGAAATTTTTTACACAAATGTGATCGATGATTTCGTGGAAATGCACAGATCGCGGTCAGTGAAAAATCCGGATTTTTTCTGGAGCACAGTCATCTCTGTATCAATAAATAGTCACAGAAATAAAACAATCATGTACTATATTTTTTGTTAACTTTTCAATATTTATAATTTTAATAATTTATTTTAAAACACACATCCCGTAAGTGATGAAAGTAAAAGCTTTAATACATTTTATTAACAGCACATTTAAAACTATTTTTTATGTATTATACATACCAAAAATTCTTTTGCTTTGTCATACGCAAAATTTCCTAACAGACTGAAATACTCATCTAGAATAGCTTGCTGTTTAGCAATGATATCTTCAACGTTCTCAGACATTTTTCCAATTTAATCTAAAATAAATATTTCAAAAGATTAAAACTATAACGTCAGGTTAAAAATAAGTAGGTATTTAACATCTAACAATAGCCATTATGTACGTTCTTTTTCACTTTTGTAGCCTATGAATAGGTAAATAATAGGTGCTTATAAGATGATTATATTTCATAAAAACATTACATAAAAAAAGGTTAATAATAGTGACAAGAATGATATTTTCATCAAAATATTAATTACACACACAGATAGGTATGAACTATGAGCATTATAGGTAAAAAACAAAAGTTAAATGAGCCACTATGTACTCAATAAAGTCTGTATTCTTTGTGTGATCCCCTTAATATAATCTAGTTTTTTCTTAATGATTGATACATAAAGACCCGTTTGCTATTGCATTGATGGAATATATATTTTTTTATAACCAATTAGATAAACTGAACTCAATCATTTATTCTAATATAGCAAATGAAACATTGATAAATTTTTTCAGTTCCCATAAAAATCACTGCAAAATAAATTTAAAACATTTTTGCTATTCTAAAACAAAATACTTTGCTTCTAACTGACAATAGATAATTTAATTAAGCAAAAGTTTCAGATAAATTGTTAGAAACATTACTTCTTTTGATACAACCACACATTAAAAGAGGAACTCCTTGGAATGTATTCCAATGAAGGAAGAGTGTGACATAATCTTCTAAACTCTCTCCTTAATAGTCAAAAAATTAACGCAATATAAAATAATAATCAAACAATAAAGAATAATCAAAATTGTATATTGCACCATTATCAGGAAATCAAGGTTGTAATAATTTAGTTTTATTATCCCATATGATCAGGGTATACTGAACATAAAATCCTGAGTGCATTCAATAGGTTAAAAAGATGTCAAATTTTTTTTTATTTTTACATTTCCTTTCTTAAGCGCACAGTAAATTGATTAATTATTATATAAAATAATAATCGAACATAATCAATATTGTTTGATTACATAAAATAATAATCAAACAATAAAGAATAATCAAAATTGTATATTGCACCATTTTCAGGAAATCAAGGTTGTAATAATTTAGTTTTCATATCCCATATGATCAGGGTATACTGAACATAAAATCCTGAGTGCATTCAATAGGTTAAAAAGATGTCACAATTTTTTTTATTTTTACATTTCTTTTCTTAAGAACACAATAAATTTATTCAGAATTTTTTTGTTTTTGTTTTTGAAAATTTTAATCCATTTTATGAAATTTTATAGTCTCAGTTAAAACTTGTGGTTTTTGCAGTTATCCAGAAGAATGCTTTTTTATCAAAAATGGTTGTCCAAAACCAGCATATAATTTATAATGTTTTTCATTAATTATGAATTTCATGTTTTTAAACAGCACTTTTAATCCATAAGTAAAAATCAGCTCAGTTATTATCAATTTCTCAGTTAATTTCCTTATCTTCACAATGTAGGGTGACCCGGGGTAATTCACGATCACTCTGTTTCTGGGGTAAATAATGATCACCTAAGTTTTATTTTAAATTTTTTTTTTTTTAAAATTTGAGACATGGACAAGAATGCTTGTACATTTTACTAAAATATAACTACATTTACTTAATAATAGTTTTTTGTTTAATCTAACAAAATAAGTATCTTTTAAACTGCTTTCTGTATTTTCCATTTCAAAGATGGGTTTCAAAATGTGCACATTTCTGCAAAGATTCCCCTCCTTCTCTTAATAATAAATATTTTGAGTTACTTTCTTTTTCTTTGATATAAAAATAGAGTAAGCTTTTGTTTAATTGTTTCGCATCTACTGTAAACATTGTAATTAATTATAGGAAACTATATCAAATGTTGCCCCTACACATGGGGTAATTATTGATCACTGGGGTAATTCCTGATCACTGTCATTTTTTCTTATAAATAGTATAAAAAATAGCTAATAAATAGCGGATTGTCCTTTCTTAAATAACAGTTCATATTTATTAAGTGGAACAACTATAAAATGTATTTTAACTGTAATCACAAAATTTGCTTTTAACTGTATACAAGACAAATATGTTCTGATTTTCACCATTGATGGTTTGCCTTACCTTGCTTCTATCTTAATTTTATGTGTGTACATTGTTAGAATAATTTTTAAGTTTATAAATTTGCCTAATATAAGTAGTGTGAAAAATTATAAGCCTAAAAAAATACTAAGCTTCCAGAAAGCAAAATTAGTGAATTTCTTTTAATGATTGAAAATGAAAATTTCAGTGTGAAAGCTGCTGTCAGAGCTGTTGACATACCTTACTTAACTTTACACTCTCACTTAATGAAGTTAAAAAATCCAGCAAAAGTAACCTATGCGGCAACTCTTTCTTATATTCTAGTAGAACATTAGAATGAGTTGGCTGCTTGCCTAAAATGTATGGCATGAAGCAAAGATTTTTGGAAAATTTAAAGTGTTAATCCTTATTCTTGCTTTTAAATAAATCGTTTTATTAGCTGCTTAAACATATCTCTTTGACTTATTTGTTTGATCTTGATGTCTTATTTGTTAATTACCACTGCATAATTACTTTTAAACAGCCCCTTTACTATAAAAAGTGGTGATCAGTAATTACCCCAGAAATGATCAATAGAAGAGGTAATTCCTGATCACTAAAAATTTAAAATCTTTTAAATTCTAATTAGATTTTCAAACAAAAGAAGGTAGCATAGGACTCATCTCATATAGCCTCAAACTTCCAGTAAATATTAAAATTCTATCTTGAATAGTTTTTTCACAAAATAGATGTTTGCATTTTTTGATCAGGAATTACCCCNAAAATAATAATCAAACATAATCAAAATTGTTTGATTATATAAAATAATAATCAAATAATAAAGAATAATCAAAATTGTATATTGTACCATTATCAGGAAATCAAGGTTGTAATAATTTAGTTTTCTTATCCCATATGATCAGGGTATACTGAACATAAAATCCTAAGTGCATTCAATAGGTCAAAAAGATGTCAAATTTTTTTTTATTTTTACATTTCTTTTCTTAAGAACACAATACATTTATTCATAATTTTTTTGTTTTTTTTTTGAAAATTTTAATCCATTTTTTTATGAAATTTTATAGTCTCAGTTAAAACTTGTGGTTTTTGCAGTTATCCATAAGAATGTTTTTTTAATCAAAAATGGTTGTCCAAAACCAGCATATAATTTATAATGTTTTTCATTAATTATGAATTTCATGTTTTTAAACAGCACTTTTAATCCATAAGTAAAAATCAGCTCAATTATTATCAATTTCTCAGTTAATTTCCTTACCTCCACAATGTAGTTTTATTTCGACAAAATATGTTGAGTATATATTAGCCATGAGTGGTATTTTTGAGCAATTAAGAAGCAACTACTGCATGTTTACTAGAAAAGTATTATCTATAATCCTGTGTTTTAATAAATATTGAGACTTCTTAAAATGTAACAGCTAATTTTAATTTTTCAACAGTGGTGAGGGAAGAAGCAGGGAACATTTCTAATGTGTGTTTATTAAAGGTTAATCTTTCAGACATTATTTTCAAAATTCAACTAATTTCAAAGCATAGGGAAAAAAAATTAATTAACTAAGAAAGAATCACGAAAGTATGGACATAGCGATTTAACAATTTTTTTCTATAAATTTTTTGGTCTATATACAAGTTTTAAGATATAAATAATTTTATAATGGAAATAATCTAATGCTCTTTCGAAAAGCGATATTGAATAAACTTCAACTATGGCAAACGTTGGCGGGGATAAGCCCTTTTTCAATAATTAGAAATTTCCGAAAGTTCTCTTCAATATTTTAGACAAATAAAGAAAATTTTCATGATTCAAAAACGATTTAAATCCACCTATGTTAAAAAAAAGAGACATACATAATAATCTTTTTCAAGTTATTTAGAACATGTAATAAAATTTTATCTCGTGTACAAATATTTATCTTACCAAAGCAAACTATTTTTAGTTGAAAACAATCCATTGAATAAAAATATAAAAACTAAATTATAAGAGCTAACATGACTTATTAGATTCTGACAAGTTTTGGTTTAAATTTACTTTTGTAATCGAGCTCGTTGTAATCGAGTGACAATGACAACATTAATTTACTTTAAAAGATCGAACATGGAGAATATTATTGTACGCTTTGACCTAAACTCGTAAAAACTAAACTTGCAACTTGTTTTTATCGAAAAATCAATTTGAAACTTCAACTTCAACTAACAATAAAAACAAAAAGTTAGATGATGAAATCAAAATTAGTAAATAAGCGATAAGCAGAGAGCTCGCAGCACTTAACTATACTCAATACTCAAATTAGTAACTGCTGAGTATCAAACAAATTTAATATTCTTTTGCAAACGTTTTCGAATTTAAAACTATGTCTGACTCTGAAAAAAGTGAAAAAGATCAATTTAAAAGTGCTGCTACTGATGAAGAGCAAATGCCTATTGATGATAGTGAGATGAATAATGAGGAATCTAATCGCATCTGTGAAAAACTTGAAAACATTGACGTAGGAGCTCCTTCAATTCGAGTTCGTACAGAGAATCCATCTCACCATGATATAACTGATATTTTGAATTTAGAACATGACGCATCTTGTGGAGAGTTTGCCAGCGAAATAAAGGAACTACCGGAATCTAAACACAAATCACCCACATCAAAGCAAAAGCATCGATCAAGAGTCTTAAAGAAAAAATCAAAGCCTATGAAAAAGCGAAAATGGAGGCCTCTGTGGAAACTCACTCGTAAAGAACGGGAAAAAGTCCACGAGCGGGAGCTGAAAAGAATTCAGAGAGATCGGGATGCTCTTCTTGCTGCTGGAGTAGCTTTAGCACCCCATAATACCAGTGACTTTTTGATAAAAGATAGAGGTTTGTCATCACCAGAGGATTTTTGCTTAGATAGAGAGGTATATTGTCGAGAAGATTCTTTTGACAAGGACTTTGAGGAAGAGTATGAGAACTATTACAGTAGTTACCTTCAGAAGTTGACCAAATTTGAATTGATAGAGCGATGGATTGACGCGGAAGATAGGATTGAAGTTTTGGAAAAACAACTTAATGTCATTAGGGAACGGAAAAGATTGTTAGGATTGAGTGGAATTGATGTAGACTCTGAGATGGCCAAAATCGAAGTGTTTAAGGACGAGATTAATAAACTAGCTCAGGAAAACGATGAGTTATATCAGAAGAATACTCATCTGGAAAAGTATGTGACTGAATGTAGTGATAATGTTGATATGTAGTTATAATCGTTGTGATATTGTCTATGTGTAACAGTCTCTAGATAGTTTATATTGTGTTATTTTAGTTTAATGCATTAGTTCATCATGTTTTTATGATCCTTTAGAATGAAATAAATAAGCTTCAACATTATGTTTATTTTAATTAAGGTTTCATTTGTGCGTTTTTTTCAATAAGAAATTTATTTAAGAACAATGGATAAAAGTTTGCAATTGAACGTTACTCTTATTTGTGGCGAGTTTATTTAATAGGAAAGTAAATCAAGAATAAATTGCATAATGATAAAACAAGACCTGTAGTATCCTGAAAGTGATGTCAATGAAAGCGAAGAATATCATGGTAAGCAGAAATGAAGTTTATGCAAAATTTGTTGTGATACCAAGTAGTATTTGAATCTACATTTTAACCCAATGCAGCTTAATAAAAATGGACTATTTCTGAATAAGATTTTTTTAGGCTTCTCACTAATTTCATATGACTAACAGATGATAACGCAAATGCTTTTCATCCTCGTCGATTTTAGTTATGAATAGATTAAATTAAAGTTATCAACTGAAAGTTGATTTAACCAGATACAAAAATTTTCCTCAAATTTGTGATTTTCTGCCTTCACGTTAATATGCATAATTTCTATATACACAATATGACAAAAAAAATCGACGCACCAAGGAGTTGTCCGATTGAAACGAAAATTGGTTTATTGGAAGACAAAGTACAGAATAGTAAATGATTAAAATTTCAGAACAATTGAATAATTTGTTGCAGAGTTACAGTAACAAGTTCAATAAGGTGTTGACCCGGAACTAGCCTGGATACAAGCTGCCAGATGGTCTCTTGCGGTATTTCCTGCCAAATTCGATCTAATTGTCGAACGAGGTCATCAACATTCCGTGCCAGATGCAATCGCCTTCCCATCATTTCCCAGACATGCTCGATGGAAGAGAGATCTGGCAGGCCAAAGAAAAGTTTGACAAGCTTGCAGACAGTTCATAGCAGCACGTGCCGTATGTGCTCTGGCATTGCCCTACAGAAAAACCAGCCCAGGGCGCTGCAATAGAAACGGTAGCAAAACAGGTCTTAGGATGTCGTCGCCAGCCATATCTGTTCAAAACATTCATGCATACAAAATTTCAAAGCAATCGGATGATTGCTTCGTGGTGCGTCGATTTTTTTGTCATAGAGTGTATATATATATGAAAAGGTTGAAAAATAACTGCAACAGAAAAATTTTTAAACGAAAACCAATTAGTTTGTTAACCAAAGCTAATTTCTAATTGGTTGGAAAACCAATAAGAATTAATATCAACTTTAAATCCCAACTTAAATTTTTCAATTTGCTTTATTACAAAATCATTCACTGATGAAATTTTTAAAAAAAATTTAAATGTATAAATTAAAATAAAGGTTCGTGGTCTAAGTCAGCGGTTGGCAAACTATGACTTGTAAACTATGTGTCATAAGTTTCGTTCATAAATTGATAAATAGTTTATAGTGACTTAATTTGAATCTTTGTTATGAAAATTCAATTATTCTAAGCTAATTTAAATATTTTTAAAATGTTACAACTTCTAATCTGATCGACTCCAAGAAATAAATTGATTATCTTGTTATGTTTAAAAAAATACTGTAAATAATAATTATTAGTATATCTTGTTAAAATTTTATACTTTTCTCATAAAGAAATATGGTAGGTACTACTTTGTTATATACTGATTACAGCAAAAATACTGATCATGGTTAGTTAATAAATTTTTTAAGCGGAACATAATCTTTATCTAAGATAAAAAAAAATAGTCATGATCAAATTAAGATTTTCAAAGTGAATTCAATTTTAAAATTCATGTAAAAATAGTGTAAATGTTGTACTTTCACATTCTGGAAGATCTTCAAATGAAATTTGAATATCCTAGAAAAATTATTTATCCATGATTCAATTAAAGGCAAATATATTTACCAAGAAGCTGTTCAAGTTTTATGTAAGCATGTTTTGGAGAATTTCTAACCCTTTTCTTCTTCTCAGTCTTGATCCTACATGTTAACCTAAGGTCTTTGTAAAAAATTTTCTTTAGTACTCAATTTTTTAAAAATTTAGAATCAGCGAATATAAATCAAAGTAATTATCAATTCTATTGCTTGTAATCAAGCACATAGGTATAACTTTTCCATAACAAATTGAAGTGAATTTAAAATTGGTGTCTAATTATGCTTTTAATATAAATTGTTGCCTTTATTACACCTTTGACAAGGATTACAGAACACAGAAGTTAAAGCAAAACTTAAGATTTGATAAATCTGCCTCTTTTTTTTTTTTGGGCAGTATTTTGTTTTAGCACCAACAAATGTAACCAAGTTTTTGTTTTAGTTAAGTTAAAAATCATGACATTTTGTTCAAAAATAAGTAATGAAGGCATAGGGTGAGAGGGGAGGGACACTTTTTACTTTTAGAAAACTGTTTAAGTTATGTAAATATATATGCATATTTATAAATAAAAAATAAATGAACAGTTTTCTAAAAAAAGAAAGCGTACCCTTCTCTTTCGTTATGCAGATGAAGAGGTGTAGAAAACTTGGCTTTCAAAAGTAAATTATGTTCTGTGATGTCTAAAAGGAGATTAGTTACTTTTTTAAAAAATATAATTATGTTTATTAAAAGATAGTTATGTTTTTTAAAACATTATTATTTTTTTGTAAATATAATTATATTTAAAAAAAAAAACGTAATTATGTTATGGAGAGTGCATACTAATTTTTGGGTATATTTTTTTTCTATTTCAGCTAAAAAAATTTTTTTTTAGGTTGATGTGAGTCAACGACTCTGTTAAGATAAAACATAGCTTCTAAAATATTACTATTTTTTCCTTTTACCTTCTTTGAGTGTTTTAATCACCACATTTAAAGAATTTCCATCCATTTTAAACTTTGCACTCGTGTACATTTATTTAAGAACTCTCTGCTCTCGCTTTTTTAGATTTTAGGCTAAATTTTCGATTTCCATGGACTCAATTTTTTACTTTTTATAACTTTTTTATGTTAGTGTATTATTCTGCAGCCCAAAGGTAGGGTAAACAAGTTTCACTTTATTAGATTAAGAGAAAAGGCGCTTAATAATTTTTGGAACTTAGGAATAACTTTTCTATATTATCTGAGTTTTAGTGGCCTTGAGTTGGCAGCAGAAGAAAGCTGGAGAAATACTAATTATAAAAATAAGATATAAATGACTAGTATCCATGTGAAAGAGAGACTAATTACAAATTTCTTTAATAAGCAGAATGGGAGCACTATATTACTGAAGCTTGAATATAATCAGAGATAAATAAAACACTAATCACTATTCAAATAAAGTTTTTATTTGTAAATTCCCACAAAGGGTTTGTTATTTTAGTGCAGGTATTTTCTATTATTTAAAAAATTTCTGAATAATTTTCACTATTTCTTCAAGGTATAATTAATTTATAACTTTTTTTTCCTTCTAAGTTCTAAAATAAATGTTACAGCCACAATAGCAGAATAAGAGTGTCATTTTAGTGAGTGCTTCAGATTGATTTTCAACTTCTAGACAAAAATAAACCTAATATTAAAAAAATAAAATTGCAGTCAAAATTAAGTAAAAAAAAAAGCATGTTTAATGTCTTCACAAGTTAAGTTTTCACAAATTAAGTTTCAATTAATTAATTCAATATTTTAAGTAGTGTAGTTAGTTTATCATGTATCATAGCATTAAATATCTCTGCATTTTAAAACTTGCAAAACTACCAATTGTAACATTTGAATATAAATACTTAACCACAAGCTTTACCGATAAATTGCAGAATTTTAATCATGGTGTTACAAATGAAGACAAAGGTTAGTTCAATAGCTGTTATTAGTGTAACAGCTATTGAAAATAAAGTTGAATTTAAAAACATTTCAGTGACATTGTCAATTTATCTAATAACATAGGTCTATAATTATTAACTAGAAGAGAAGAAAAAAACATTTGAAAAATAAAAAATATTAAAAAAAGGAGAATATTATAGAATTGTGATAATTGCAATTAGCAATGGATAGAAAACAATATCACACATGGTTTGAAAATTTTAATAATATACAAACTGATTAACATTGACTTAAAACTAAATTCTTAATGATGAACACAATAAACATTATGCAGACAAACACAAACTTTTAATAACTTAAAAATCTAACATCATAAAAACAATTTTATCTCTTTTTGTCATAACTAGTATATTGTGCTTCAGAGGAAACCCAAGCATCTTGGCATAACTTAGCTCTTTCAGACGTAACTTTCCATGCAATAATTGTACTAGCAATGGATGGCAGGAGTAGAAAATATTTTTGCTCATATGGAAGATGACGCTTCAAAAGTACTTGAGTAAAGTACATCGCTGAAAAAGCTGGAATGTTAAAAACTACATATAATACAAATAATTTCTAAAATAAATATTTATGCATAGATAGTAGAAAAGGGTGCGAAATTTCCTCTCGCCAGCTCGTCGTTGGCAACCCAATATTTTGAGCTGGCAAGTAAGTTTTGTCTTAAAAAATGTTGTGTTTCGAATCAGACTACTATATTTTTTCTAGATTTATGAGTTTTCATTTGACAAATAATAAAAATGGGGAGCAATAGTTTCAGATTTAAGAGGGATATTAATTAAATATGTAAGATGTGCATCACAGAAAGACTGCAATCTATATAAACAGATGTGTTAACTCTGTGTGTTTTTGATGCTACCGAAGAAAAAATTTGAATTTGAAAAGAAAAATTTGAATTAGAGGAGATTAGGAAACTCTCCATGTATTTAAACCCAAGTCTCTTTAATGAACAAGAGGATGCTGTGTCAGCAGAGTGGGCAAAATTCAAGTTTATGATCACTTCACTAACATTGACTCAGATGCTACGGAAGTTTAACAGTAAAGAATGTTCGCCGATATTCCCAAATATGCTCCAGATTACAACATGTTTGTGCTGTTCTACCAGTGAACACAGCTTCCTGTGAGAGAGGTTTCAGCTATCTCAACAGACTGATGACAGTTTACAGAAAACTCTTTGAAGACTAATTTGCTCAGAATATTTTAGAAATTGATGCAATTCCTTTCCTCCCTTAACAAAATTTGATGCAAGGTATGAAATTGACAAATGACATATCAGTGTTGAGAGGCAGCAGATCCGTTATAATAATAAAATATTAATGATACGAAGTGTTAAAAGTACTAAAACATATATCATATCTTAATTTTCTGATATTTTTTGTATTTTAATAGGAAAATACGTGTAACGATCAGAAAAAGATGTGATTTTTAAGATTTCTTTTTGAAAGTGTAATTAAAATAATGCCAGCAAGTGAGAAGTATAAATGCATCTTTCAAAGTCTAAAAAATATTTTTAATAAGAAATTTGTATACTTTTTTTTGCTGGTGTAAGTAAACTCAACTATTTTATTTATCTGTTCATTTATTTTTATTTATCAAAAAAAATCTTCCCTTAAAAAATAGTAATAAAGAAAAAAAAACAGTTTAATTTACACTAGAAACTTTATTGCTGGCAAAATGGAAAAGTATCGAAATTTGTGCACTAATTTCTTATAAAATAACTTAAGCAATAGAGTGTCTCGTTTTGCAACTTTTTTTTTTTTTCAAAGCAAAATATAATATCTGACAAAAGTTGCCAATCCACAGTGATATTACAGATATAAAAAATTTTTCAAATCAAATAATATCTTCAAGAAGCATAGCCTAGAAATTTTGAATAAAAACACCAAAATTGCAACTAATTTTAGTAAGGCTAAAACGGCTTACACTGCTTTTAATAAAAATCAAACTTGTTAATAAATTTGCTTACATGTTAATAAATAAACATGTTAACAATGAAACAAATAAACCATCTATACTATGCTTTGGTAAAAATACATCATGGCAAATTCTCTTTCAGTTACAAAAGAAATTTAAAGTAGCTATAGAAAAAGTGAATTCAGGTTAACCTAAATTAAATCATAAAGTTTCAAAAACAAATTAAGGCAGAATTATGCAGTGGAGAAGTAATTTTGACATAATTTGTTTGCCTTTTGATATTTGGAAAGCATTATTTTCACCATTTGCAACTCCGTGGTTTATTTTAGATTTACCTTTACTCACTTTTCTCTAATTTTTGAATTTTAAATTACCAATGGACATTAAACAAAATTTGTAATGAAACATTTCATCCATGGTATAGTGTCCATTTAAGGGGAAAATTCTAATTTCATTACCTAATAAGCATGTGAAGAAATAAAATTTAATATACAAAAATTCAATTTTTTTTTAAATAAAAAGAAAATTAAAGAATTTATGGATGGTTTATAAGGCCTGCGTGGAAATATAATTGCTTTTAAAAGAAAGCTACGGTTTATGCCTTAAAAAATTGATAGGAAATAACTGAAGCATATTTAGGAATTTTATCAAGTAGTAAAATTTATTTTAAATTTCTTCAAAAAATTGAAATATTAAAGAGTGGTTAAATGAGCCTTATTCTTTACAATTTCTAGTAAATTTTAAAATTCTAAAAAGTTGTAAATATTAAATTTCACGAAAAAAAATTAAGATTTAAGAAAATGTTCAACAATGAATTTTTTTTTTCAAATCAAATATATTTGTTATAAAAATACTAAGTTGAAATGACATGCTTACATAGTGCAAAAGAAGATAAGCCTGTGAACAATCCTCTAGTCATACATTCTGTATAAGATCCAAAGCCCTAAAAATTCACATAAATTAGTTTATATATACATATATATATGAAAAATAGTATTCAATTCTGAAATCTTTAAGAAAAAATCAATACAAAAAAAGGTAATAACATTGAACTCATATTACATTGTTATACATGTTACTATCAATTTAAGTAATATTATATTCTATGGAATGATAAATGCTCTTTAGGTAAAGTATGAAATATGAGAATTATATATAGACTGTTCATAGTCATTGTAAGGAATGTTGGTAGGCACTTTAACGGTCATTTTATAAAAGGCAGAGATATTGTGAAAAATATGAATCACTTCCTATATTGTCAGCCAATTACAGGCATTCTATACCATGACAAGACATTCTATAAAATATATGATTTTACAGAATGCTAGATTTTATACATTCATGCCAAGATATAAATTTACATCAAAACAAAAGTATAAGTACAGTATTCTCTGCAAATAGTGCTCTAGTCATACATTTGATATTAGAGCTGAAAATGAAAATTGTTTGAATTATTAATGAGGATTTTATTATTCATGTAGCTCAACTTTTATTCTATCTACCAGATTTAAGATAACTAAAGTGGCGCAACAGCCCGTAGAGCGCCAAGGCCTACTGTGCCCATCTCAGTTTTCTTGACCTTGGGCTCTGGGGTGCAAAAGCAGATGTTCCGGTTAGGTGGTCAGCCAAATGTGGAAAACCCAGTGTTTAGTTCCCAAGCATGCTTGGTACTCATTTATCGACCCACTGAAGGGATGAAAGGCTGAGTCAACCTTGCCCAGCCCGAGGATCGAACCCAGGACCTGTGGCATGCGAGCGTGAAGTGCTACCACTCAGCCGCCGGGCGTCGTTTTAAATAATTATGTATAGAAATTTTTGATACAGCAGCCATTAAAGATTAAAAAAAACAAAACTGTTAGCATATTTTTAATGATTATGATAAATTTTCTTTCAATCAATATAAATATAATATATATGCAATAAATCTCTCATATATTTTAAAAATTTAAAAGTATATTAAAGCAACTTTTCTGTATTGTTACCTGTTCGCTACCAACTACTAAAACCAAGGATTTTGGCACTAGAAATTGTTTTTTTTTTTAAGAAGTAGGTAGTTGATTGTTTAAAGAAAGGTGTTATCAGTTGTACCTTTCAGGTTAGTCCCGTTCTGTGATATATTTTTTTTTAGTTTGTTTTTTGAAAGATTTCTGCATCACTAGATAAACTAAAATTATAATAATAAGCAAAAAAAAAAATCTGAAAAGGAAGCCAACTCAAACGGTATGACTCTTAGCCATTCCCGCTAAACCTCTACTTGTTTTATTTTTACATTTGTTTGAATGTTTAAAATATTTTCGGTGACTTGATAAATTTAATTGGCACAAATAGATACCAATATGATAGAATCCCCATTCGTCTTCTACTACCAGGTTGCTGTCAAAATGCGAAGATTTTTTGGCATAGGTACCAAGATGGTTGTTGTTGTTCATTTACGTCGCACTAAGAGCTGCGCAATGGGCTATTGGCGACGGACCAAGATGGAAAATCTTCCCCACTTAAGAGACAAATTTAATGAATGAGTAACATTTTCCTAATCTTTTTAAAATTACTTCATGGCGGATATTTTTGTATTGTGATTTGTTAATCCAACTGCAATCATTAAGCTGCAAAATGGATTTTAAATTTGCAATTAAAAAAAAAAAACATATAGAGGTTTGGAATTATACCCTTTAAGTTAATCCCATTCTGTCACGTTTTCCTTTTAGTTTAGCATGAGCCACTGCACTGAAGTTGCCAAGAATCGGCGATTATTTTAACGTAGATGACGATACAGAAATCTTTCCATTTTACATATGATGCCATATTTTAATTTATTATAAATAAAAAAAAAATTGACTGAAAACTTGTTAAAATACAAGAATTACTGTTATTATTTGTAATTATATTATGTAACAAATAATACTGATAACGTTTTAAATAAATAAAAGGTATTAATGTGTCAAAAGGAAAAAATATTTACGCCAAAATCCAATTTTAGAAAAACGGAAAAATGAATTTTTAAGTGATTCATTACAAAGCATATCCCATATCCCTATAAAAAAATATTAATAACGAGCAAAACAGAATACAGCGGAATATGGTACTGCAGAATATGTTTATAAATATGTCAACAAAAAAAAAATGTAATGATTTTTTTTAAATATGCTATTTCATTCTCTTGGTTAGAAAATATTTAACATGCGTAGTATTAAGTACTTTGAATTTTTGACTATAAGTTTCTTTGACTTTTTTAAAATCATCCATTATCTGGAAGAATTTAATTTTAAGATCTTGCTAACTAGAAATAAATATTTTATTTCATGCAGTTCAGCGAGTAATTATTTCAATTTGTAATAATAGTTTCTTGAAATCTTGTAAGTAAACAATACTTATGAAACTTAGTAAGGTAGAGACAGTTCGGACCGATGAAAAGTTTGCGTTCATAAAGTAGGCAATGCAATAAAAATATATGCGAAAAAAATCTAAAAAGTTGATTCAATTGAATCGGATTATTTACTTGAACCATAAACAGCAGAAAGATAAGCACTGTTGCGGTTAAAAGTAATGTAGTGTTAATATGTTTTTAATAAAAAGATTAGATTAAAATTGAAAAAAATATGACTAGAAGAAGCTTTCTAAAATATATAAATACGCATGAGAAAATTAAAAATATAAAGGTGTCTTTCAATTTATTGCCCTTTCTTGTCAATATAAGCTATAAGCACATTATGCATTTTAACATAAGTATTTAAAATTGAATATCATTATCATCAATTAAAATAAATTATGATTGAAACAAATCATTTCTTGAAATATATCCTTATTTGTCTACAAAACATTCTTGTTTCTGATATTTCTTTTAATTTTAATTCTGATCTTTCCTTATTATTAGTATTTTTTTATTGTTAACCTTCATTGTTTTGAGAGTAGCTACTTTTAGGGAAAATAATCATTAATTTTGTTTTGATTTTACATTCTAAGTTAAACTAATTTCCTATTTTCTGAATTCCATTATGAAGAGCTAAACTTCTTTCCATATTATTGCTTTATACAAATTATTTGAATTGAAAATATAATATTAAACAGTGTCCTAAATATGACCGACGGTCTTTGTAAACTAGAACATTTTCGGGTGACGCTAATAAGCCACTGTTGTTAAAACTTATTAAAATTAGTTTATAAAAAATAAAAATATCGCTACTTTTTATTTCTTGTTGTAGCTGAATTTTTCATTTAATTTTTAACTATTTTTCTTTTGTGTTAGTTATTGCTTTGCATCATATTCATTGGATTACATTTGATTTATTATTCATGTTTAATACTTATAGTGCTTATAAATCGTATGTTTTCTTATGTTGTTTAATGGTATCATGGGGAAGCTTTTGTACTGTGATCTGTGGCAGAATAATTGCCAAGTCTTGACAACTTCCCGGCACCAGCCCGTGAGAAACTAAAAGAAAAATTTAAAAAGAAACCATCAGAAAAAGGGGCCAACTTGAAAGGTATAACTCGTAGCCACCCCCAGGCAAACATCTACATATTTTTTTTAAAAAAAAATTGCAAGTTTAAAATCTATTTGGCATCTTGTAGTTTGCCCGATCACGATACGGAAATATCCCCGTGGTATCATTCAATCAGGAATTATTTCTTTCAAGTTATGCAATTCTTTTGTAATTAAAGATCTTATGTTATTTTATCATTTCTGTTAATATTTTCTTCTTCTTTAGTTTAAAAACAATTTTAAAAAGATATGGTAGCTGAAAAAAAATTAAGATTTCAGCTTTTACGGAAATATAGGAAATATACTTCCCAACTGATTTCTTAAAATGCCTAAATTGTATGACAATTTGGGAAGATAATCATATTGGTACCTTCACCAAAATAATTTCCAGGTCTTAGTGACAAGAAAGTAAGAGAAATAAAAAGCTCACTAAATGAGATGAATTCAGAAGGTATAATTTGTAACCACTGTATATAAAATTTAAATGAGAGAACTGGGTAGTGCTATACAAGCATGGTGAATGCAGTTGGAGAGTACAGAAGCAGATATGGGAACATGCCTACTTCTCTCTGATTGTAAACACTATTAAAAATTTTATTACACGGTTTAATTTTTTTTCTCCCAAAACACTTTGATTTTAAATACATAGACCTGAATGAAATATACTGCTATTTTCAGATCAAAGTTGCCATAATTACTGTATTTTTCTTACGAAACTTCATTTATCTTACATTGGTTAAGATAAAAGTCAATCAAGATTATATCACCTTTTTATAGTGCTTGGTTTTTAAGCATTGCATTATTGTAATATATGTATTTTTAATGCATAATGTAAAATTTGTATTTTTAATATGTAATGTAATATTTATATTTTTAATATAGTAATATTGTATTTTAATATATATTGTTATATTTGTATTTTTACTATTATTGTATTATTTGTATTTTATGTATTGTATATTTCAGTTTTTTTTTAGCACATAGTGAGCTTTTTAGTTTATTTTGTATGGCTTACCTTTAAAGATTATCCTAATACTTTTTTTTTTAAAAAAATAATGAAATTTTGTTTCATAATAAATTTGCATAATATTTTTTTTTATAAAATCTTGTTGTTTTAAAATATGTAGTTTATTATGCTGAAAATATGCTTTAAGATTAATTTTATTGATAAGATTAATTTTATTGCAGTTTTTCTTAAAAAAAAACCCCTTATGTTTAAAAAATTGTACTTTTGGGTTTATTAATGTTGTACTTTCAATATGCGTTTTAACATTTGTATTTTAAAATAACAAGTATAATAGTATAATAAGTATAAATAACCAGTTTAAATAACAAGCAAAATAACAAGTATTGTTTTTCAGTACTTTTTAATATGTATAAGATTAATTTGTGGGCTAATTTTTTGATTATCTTTATACTTTTTGAGGTCCTAAAAACATTTTTCTTTATTTAACTGTACATTATATCTTATAAACTTTTTTATGCTTTTATTAGTTTAAAATACACGTAGTTTTATACAATTGTTTTTTATTTTATTTATTTGTTTTTAAATTCGTTTTCTTTTAAAAATTTTTTAACAATTGTTTGATTTTTAGTAGCTACATTGTAAGTTACAGTCTATATTTGCATTTTTAAGCATGTGTTAGACCTTTTCTTTGTAAGGTTTAACTGTGTAGATTATTGTAGTACCTTTTTTAGGTTCTTAAAAATAAAATTTTTTTAACAACTTTACATAATATATTTATTGCATTTTTTTATATGCTTTTGTTTATTCAAATCCTTTAGTCTATTGTAAAGCCATTTTCTTTCAAAAATTTTTCGAGGTGCAATTATTATTATTATTACTTGTAAGTTTTAAACCAAAAACAAATAAATATATATATATATCCTTAATCTATCCTTAGACGATTTTAATCTATCCTTAGACGCTATTTTGATTTTAATTATTATTTAAAATGTTTAACATACTCTATTTTTGTAATTTAGATATCAAAATGTTTTCATTGTTTGTATTTATCTAATATAATTTGATTTAGTCTAATATTTATTTAGTCAATGATCAATTTTTTTCTTTCTCTTTAAATCTGTGTTTTATATATTTTTAAAAGGCATTTACTTTAATCTTACTGAAGTTTATAAACTACTATATCACATCAAACTGGTATTGGTTCTATACTGTTCAATAATGTTAAATTTTTTTAAAAATAATATGGATACTAACTACTAAACATTCAACAAATTTTGCACTATATTAATAAAGTATGAAAAAAATTTTATTCCTAACAGTGCAAACAAAATAGTTTTACTTAAAATTTCTATGTTCTTTTTTGTTTTTAGTAAAGTAGATATAATTTTAAATTTATAACTTTCATCATTTTTATGATATATAGCAGCTGATTTTAAGTAAGTAATTGGCAGTTTAAAGGTTTTCGATTTCATTATATCTTTTAAAAAACATTTTAAAAGGGAACCTAAATTCTTGAAGTGCTTAGAACAATAATTTAATATGTATGCAGTTTCTTATGTATGTTTACATAAATGGCTAAAGGAGTTTTGACATGAAATTACTGGTAAAAATGTAAAATATCTACGAGCATTCATGATTTCTTTTTAATTTCTGAGGAGAAATCTGGGTTAAAATTTTGTTTCTGCTATTTACTGCACATTTTAGTTAAAACATATTCTTACTACACGTTTATCAATAAATTGTTAACACAGATTAATGAGCGATACATACTGAAATTTGTTACCCTTTCTCATCCTGCGACAATGTTAGGTAATGGCTTATTGTTGCCAGATTAGATAATTTCGCCTAAAATATATAGATGGTTTCATTTATTTTTAAGTTTTGAAAAAAACTAACCTATACAATCAGGTGTCAGGAAAGCATGTCTGCATTTTTTAGACTAAAAACTACTCTTTCGTTAAAGGAGCCCTAGGTGATTATTATTTTTTTTTGCCAAATCGAACTTCAAACATAATCAATTAATAAGAATTACTGTATATTATTTTTAATAATTGATTGATCAAAGGATGTGATTGCCATTGATCGATTTGCTCTACAACAACGTTTTTTTTTAAGGCTAAGTGCCACTGCCCGATATACCCTGTACTGATGTTTTTTTAAGGTTAAGTGCCACTGCCTCTTATACCCTAAACTAATGTTTTTTTTTAAGGTTAAGAGTCACTATCCTGTATACCCAACACTAAATTTTTGTGTATACCCAACACTAAATTTTTTAAAAGTGCCATTGCCCTAGGTATTCTCTATAGTGACCATTACGATGAAAGGCTGCTTATGTGGTGCCGAATTCGCGCCTCACGATTTTGAGATTTTTCATGACCTTTAATGGCACAGTACCAACTAAAGTTATTGTAAGTTAATTTGATATGTGCGTTTTTTTAAAAATAACTCTTTGAGTATTGTTTTTTCTTCTTCTTTCTTTTAGTTTTTCATCTCGAAATCAATACTTCATTGACATTGGGGAAACAGAGGTTTCTGCATGAATTACTAAATAGCGAAGATTCAAAATCATGTAAATACACTGTTATGAACAGAGAAGAATATGAAATATTACTTCAAGAAATTAAAGATGCTAAACTGGCCTCGAAAAAAACTTCATTGCAGTATCGGCGTTTAAATCGTTTTGATATCATAGAGGTGGGTGGG